CTCACAGTTTTAGAGGTTTTAGTTAGTTCTCCCTATTGCTTTTGGGCCTGTGGGAAGGCAATAAATAGATCATCGCAGAAGAGGCTGCCCACTTCGTGACATACAAGAAAGAAAGAGAAGGGAATGGAACACTAATAACTGCTTCTAAGGTTCAGCCCCAGGGACCTAACTTCCACCTACTAGACCCACTTCTTAAAGGTTCTACTGCTTCCCACTAATGCCACAAGCTGGCAAACAAGACTTCTTGTCTCATTTGACATTTATCCAAACTATGGCATTCTCTTCGAAATGAAGAAATAGAACTGTATCAGTATCTAAGATCTTCTATCTTAAAAAATCTTGTTAAATAAGGCAGACTTGAAAGATTCAAAAAAGAATTAAATATGACCAAAATGTGTTGAATATGGGAAATTTTTTTAGTGTGCAAGCAGGATCAAATAGAAATTGTATCTGGTTCCTAAAGAAACCAACTGAAATAGGTATTTCTGCTGTGTTCATTTTTGTGGTACTCTACAGTTTTTTACAAATATGTATTCATAACTTCTATGTACAAGTTCAAATTTTTAATTTTTGAGGAAACAGTTATGAAACATATGCTGTGTCCTCTTATCTTTTGTTGGAGAACTCAAGGGTCAAGGAGAAGAAAAAGAAGCCCTTACACAGCATGTTCTATAATCATGAACATCAGACAGCCACTTCCTTTTTGGTTGTTGATGCCCTTGATATGGCAGGCATCCCAGTGTTGGTGATGTCCTGAGTTGCAAATGTGCAGCTTTAGCATTGTTGGCACAGCCTGAGCTAGCCTCAGAAGCACACTCTCGTCTCCTGCCCTGTGGTATTACCCCTAACCTCTATTTCTGGGTCTTCTTGCTCTGTGCAGGCAGTCCTCTTGGACAGCACTCGATCAGAATGACTTTGGGCAGGTTACCCTCTCAGGTGTTTATTTGACTCATAGAAAGTACACATTCTTACCTTAATATGTACTGGGAGTTACCCCAGGTCAGCATAAAAGAAGCAGACACTAGTCACCTTTTACTGAAGACCTAAAATATCATGTGTTGAGCCTCCCCAAGGAGTCTCTGAACAAAGCTGCCCATCCTAGTGTGTCAGTGTGAGCCAGTAAATTGCTGCAACTTGGCAAGCTCTAGCCAAAGACTAATGCCAGGAGTTCTCCTGTTTGCCGCTTCCAGTTCCTGTGCAAGCTTGTCTGGAGGGTCCCCGTACCCTTCACTTTACATCATGGAAGAACAGTTCTCAAGGAGGAGGAGAAGGGAAAATCAAATGTGTTCTCTCCTCAAGCTTGTGACTCCTGCACGTCATGCTTCTGCCTCTGCAGGCAGAATAAGGCCTAGGCCGACTGTGGAAGGAGCGCTGACTGCTGTGCAACAAGCCCTCCACCAGCACTGGCAGCTTCCTAGGAGGCTTGGTGCCACAGACTTCTGTTGCCTTTAGTTTGGCGTTCTAGAGCGCGCGCATGCGTGCGTGCGTGCGTGCGTGTGTGTGTGTGTGTGTGTGTGTGTGTGTGTGTGTGTGTGTGCATGTGTGTGTGCATGCATGCATATGAGTATAACAGAATGCCATTAGGAGTCATTTTATTGCTACTTTTTTTTTAGAAGAGTGTTATTTGTTCTCTAGGTCCCTGCACTATCTAGTCTCAGGTTCTCAGTCACCCAAGCAGTGTCAGGTATGGGTTCCATCTTGTGGAGGGGGCAATTAGAATGACTACTATTACTCAAAAGTTAGTACTAGCTGGGCAGTGGTGGCGCACACCTTTAATCCCAGCACTTGGGAGGCAGAGGCAGGAGGATCTCTGTGAGTTCTAGGCTAGCCTGGTCTACAGAGCAAGTTCCAGGACAGGCTCCAAAGCTACACAGAGAAACCCTGTCTCAGGAAAAAACACCAAACTAACTAACTAAAAACCCACAGAGCATATGAAAGCATCTCTAGTAGGTCCAGAGTGAGGCTCAAGAATGTCTTCTAGGGACCAGTTAAAAGTCTTCAAGACACTATACTAACATGTAGATTTTAGATGTTAGCAGAGTCAAAGCTTGAGTGCTGTGCCTTAGCACCATTTTTTTTTTCCTAAAAGAAAATGCACTGACATAAGAACTAAGGGACTCTACTTGGCTTAGTGAGACCAGGTTAAAAATCAAGTCTCCAGGTTCAGAAATTGGGAAGGGTGGGTGTTTGCTGCTCTGTGAGTAAAGGTTGGTATGCATTTATTAATTGTGAAAATAGAAAGCAATTCTAATCATATTTGAAAGTGTTGGAAGTTGTGTCAGCAATAGTCTTTGATTGAGAAAACATTAAAGCTGTTTTAGGTAAAGAATTTGCAGCATGAACAGTGTAAAGTGACAGGGCAATCAACCTGCAAGGCCTTGAATTAAATTTGTTGTTCTTTTAAATGGCCTTGAGGTTTTACTGTTGTTATTATTATTATTATTCATTTAAGTTCTTTAAACTTTAGTTATTAATACTTTGCCATCAAGGCTAGCCAAGTATCTTTTTTAAGATTACACTTCTATTTGTGTGTGTGTGTGCGTGCACGCGTGTGGTGTACATGCACTTCTATTTGTGTGTGTGTGCGTGCACACGTGTGGTGTACATGCACTTCTATTTGTGTGTGTGTGTGCGTGCACGCGTGTGGTGTACATGCACTTCTATTTGTGTGTGTGTGCGTGCACACGTGTGGTGTACATGCACTTCTATTTGTGTGTGTGCACATGCACGCGTGTGGTGTACATGCACTTCTATTTGTGTGTGTGCACATGCACGCGTGTGGTGTACATGCACTTCTATTTGTGTGTGCGTGCACGCATGTGGTGTACATGCACTTCTATTTGTGTGTGTGTGCGTGCACGCGTGTGGTGTACATGCACTTCTATTTGTGCGTGTGCGTGCACGCGTGTGGTGTGTGCGTGCACGCGTGGTGGTGTACATGCACTTCTATTTGTGTGCGCGTGCACGCGTGTGGTGTACATGCACTTCTATTTGTGTGTGCGTGCACGCGTGTGGTGTACATGCACTTCTATTTGTGTGCGCGTGCACGCGTGTGGTGTACATGCACTTCTATTTGTGTGTGCGTGCATGCGTGTGGTATACATGCAAGCATTCCTGCCGCAGTGCAAGTGTGGAAGTCAGAGAACAGCTGTTTGTTCTCTCCTTCCACCATGCAGGCTCCAGGAATCAAACTCATATCACAGGCTTGATGCTTAACACCTTTGCCACCTAAGCCATTTTGCTGGCCCACTAAATGTCTGTGTTGTTGTGGTGCTTGTTGTTTTGGTTTTTGAAACAGTCTCTCATGTAGCTCTAACTGTCCTGGAACTCAATATGTAGATAGACCTGGCTGGTCTAAAACTCAAAGGGATATCTGCCTCTGCCTCATTAATGCTGAGATCAAAGGCATATACCACCAATCTCAGAACCACTCCATGTATTTTTTAATTATATTTTATTTGGGGAGTTATGAGAATGTGCTCATGTGGGTTTCAGAGGACATCCTGAGAGAGTTGGTTCTCTCCCTCTACCATATGAGTCCTGGGAATCGAGTTCGTGTTGACATACTTGGCATTGACAGGCTGGGAACTGTGATACATGCTTTTAATCCTAATACTCAGGAGGCAGAGGCAGGCAGAACCCTCTGAGTTCAAAGACAATTGGATATCTACAAGTAAGAGGACAGCCTGGTCTACATGGTGAATTCCAGGCCAGCCAGGACTATATAGTGAGACCCTGCGTGTGTGTGTGTGTGTGTGTGTGTGTGTGTGTGTGTGTGTGTGTGTGTGTGTATTTTAAAAGTACATTTTTTTTATTCCAGATTTTAGTTGGCAATCACTAGAGAAGTAAACCTTAAGAAGACAGAGACCATCCACATATATTCTCTAAGGATTTGACCAAACAACATACCCTAAAATGTTTTAAGTAGAGTAGCATTTTACTTTTCTGCTTAAACTATTTATTCAGTCTTCAATTCAGCAGTACTTTCTTAATTAATGGCATCACAAAATGGCCCCTCCTCTATTTTCACTTTCTCTTGATCATTTTTTAATACCTTATTTAGGAATTTTTAATGTATGGTATGGCCTAAATATTTACAAGTTATAAATAAATAAAAGATTTTTTTCTGGCATCTAACTATAAATGAAGAATGTTTACAGTCAGTATTTCACCTCTAGACTAACATTGGTATGCAGAGAAAAGTTGGGGGAGGGACAAACCAATCCCCAAATGTCAGGCTGTTTTAGAGAAGTTAGGAAATAGAAGCCATCAGACTAGCCAAGGTCACTTTAACTTTTTACTTTTCAGAGCACACTGTTCACTGTGGGCCATTCTGTTTGGGGTAAAACTAGCATTTTAATTGTACTTCTAAACTGCAGAATATTTTCTCTGACAAATTAAATTAATGTTCTTTAGCAAGTTGGTGCTTGATTCTTTCACGTTTGTGCGAGGAAGTGTAAATTTATTTAGAACTGTTTCAGTCCTGTCACACTCTGATTTGCAAAGTCAAAGGAGATGAAGTTTCTGTCCCTGACTCCCTGCTGAAGGCTCCAGCACTGATTCTGATATTGACCATCCCTAGTAAGACAAGAAAAACCTCTATGAGAATATTTCTTCCTAGAAGGAGTTGGTTTGCCCTTTCCCAAGATCTAGGTTTCTGTGAAAATTCTTTTAGACTCTTCTTGGCCAGAAACTGTTCTTCCATTTTTCTCCATAGTTACATTAGTGAATGTTGCTTCTGTCTGGAAGGAAATCTTGGGATTGCTGCTGTATTGACAAATGTTAATTGCTCTCTTTAAAAGTATTGACTTTAAAAAGATAAGCATGAAACTCATATTCTGACAAGTTCCCTTGAATGATGAACAATTGCAAAGAAGACCCAGAGACATCATCTCCCTGACTTTTTAAGAGGAAAACATTGTTGAAATAATAAGCAGAAAGCTATAAACTGTAGCAAAACGTGATGGATATTGATTGGATTTTCTTCTTTGCTTTTTTAGCTGTATGACAAAATTAACACAAAGTCTTCACCACAAATCAGGAATCCTCCAAGCGATGCAGTACAGAGAGCCAAAGAGGTAAGTGACATCTTTTTCTCAAAGTATTTAGTGTTGTCACGTTTGCTACCTTTAATGAAGAGGCGCATTCATTAGGATTGCAGTTTGACTCATACTCAGATTCTGATTGTTAAATTTATCATTGAACATCCATGTAGGGAAGAAAAAAGTCTCCGCAACTGTAGTTCCCAATTTCTCCTGGTTTTGCTGTGTAAATGACATCTTTTTTGATGTTATTTTACTGCACCTGGTAGGAATAGACATGCTTTAAAAATGTGAGTTGCTTCTTTAATGTGGTACTGTGTGGAGGTTAATTGACTTTTATATAACAATTAAATATACCAAATTCAAAGAAGTCATTTTTATGCATCATCAACCCATAAACGTATTTGCCACAAATTTTTTCATGTTTGTTTATTATAGAAGCATGACTTTGCAGAAAGCTTGGAAAACAAAATTCACCCAGGATCCCACCACCCTAAAACAGTTGCTTCTATTTTTGTATCTTTTTCATTTACATGTAGACTTAGATCAAAATATGTTGGTTTGGATCTAATATGTAACAAGCATTTTATGCCTCTATTTGATCTTTATGAATATGATACAACAACTGTGTAATTTTTTTCTTATTACTAGAATGATGTAGAAATTACCCCATTAGGAAATACTTTCTTTTAACTGTCTGATCTTTTAAAGTTTTTATGCAAATAAACGCTTCCTTTTAAAAATATTTCTTACAAGGTGTGATTACTAAATGAAAGCGTTTTGAAGACATAATCCCCTTTCAGCAGATTTTGTTCTGGGTTTTGTTTTGTTGAGACAGGATCTCCCCATATAGTCCAGTTTTGGGGTGACAGGTGTGTACCAGCACAACCAGCTTTCTAGCAGATGTGAAACATGACCTTTGATGTGTGTGTGTGTGTGTGTGTGTGTGTGTGTGTGTGTGTGTGTGTGTGTGCACTTACATAGTCACTGAGAAATTAGACCACGGTGACTGCCAGGCCTATTTGCTTGATGAGAATAGGGTAAGAGAAATCTGTCTTAATTGGCCCAGCAAGCGTTCTTTCATTCTTTGAAAGGAATTAACACTATCAGTCAGGAATCATGAGTCACTGAGCAATTTTATCAATACCTAAATAGATAGAAGCTGAGACACTCTGGGGACAATCCTTTGTCCTAATTATACAGTTGAAGAATTTCCCCTAGCTTAGGAGATCACACCTCTGTAATTAAAATCATAAACCATGAAAGTGGCAAGGGAAAGAGAGTTTGTGCTTTCCCCTTGTTCCTGGAAGAGAAGGAGAATACACCAGAGAACTACTTTAATTTTAGTAAGCAATAGGAATTAGCTGCATAACCAGCAATCATTAGCAGGGCATTTGAATACGAAACAGCAGTAAGGGTGTGAGTGGTAGGGTGCTGAAATCTGAGACTCAGGCCATGTGACCCCCTTCCTGAAGTTCTGGCAGATTGAGTGAGGCAGGAGAGTCATGCTAGTTGAAGTTCTGGCAGGTTGAGTGAGGCAGGAGAGTCATGCTAGTTGAAGGGCTATGTGCCCCTTACACCCAGTAGTGTTGAGGCAATCCTAGATTGGATCCATGCTTAGAATTCAGTTGAGTGCAATTTAGAGGCCAGCCATCTGCAAATAGAGCAGTAACAGGTACCTGCTCAGAAAACCAAGGCACTGCTGTAGGCTGCTAGACCTGGATTAAGGTGAACTGGTGAGCTCCCTTCCTTGCCTTTTTAGAGCAGTTGATTTGCAATCAGCATTTTCACCAATGCAAACAAAATGCTATTGCCTGATTGGTGAGAAAAGTTTGAGTGCAGAACAAAAGCTGCTGAAGGTGTTTGAGTTGTTAAATTTGGTCTCAGGTTTGCTGGAATTTCGTCAAAGGGACCATTGGCAGGAGCATTGTTTTCTCCATGTTGGAAGATAAGCATGGAGAACAGCATTCCTCCCACTAGGCTGCAAGGAAAATTACTTAAGTGTATTCATAATTAATTATTCTACTTAATTAGCATTCTTTTGTACATTGTTTTCATTGAACCTCCGGTCATCTTTTTAAGGAACTAGCAGCACTATTCAATTTTAAAGGCTGTTACTAACTTTCAGTACAAATTGATTTGGGGGGCAAATTTGAATTTTCTTACTAAGCTACATAAGTTTCCTAAACCTGTAATAAGTACGTGTTATAAACTTCCCATTTTGTGTTTTACTTTTTGTTACCATTGGGTCACAGCTGAGTATTGAAGGCAAACTATTGTTGCTTTTGTTTCATTTTAATACTATCAATATCTTTCTCCTATTTTAATAACTTTTGAACTCAACAAATGTTTTCAAAGAAATTGGCTTTGCCACTACAAAAACCCACTCATGGTTTTTAATTTAAAGGAGTTCCATGCTTTGTAAATTTCATATCATTTTGCACTAGTATGCACTAGTATGTTTCTTACTTGTTTTTTTAGGTATTGGAAGAAATTTCATGTTACCCTGAGAATAATGACGCAAAGGAACTAAAGCGTATTTTAACACAACCTCATTTCATGGTAAGTAACACATCACTAGACCAAAACCATACTTTCACAAGAAGTTTTTAAAACCTTCATAAAATATTGCTAGTGTCATCAAGTGTATTTTATCCTTATACAATCATGTCATCTGCTATTGAGATAAATTCTGAAGAATGTTACTAGGCAATTTTGCCATTGTAAGCATATCATAGAGTGTTCTTACAAGAGCTTAGGTGATATAGGCTACTAGTGTACACCAGGCTACACACTGTGTAGACATGTATATGCCATAGTTCTGGGAGGCTCTTAGAATCATAGTGAGAAAACAACATGAGATTTAACAAGCACAAGAAAAATGATGAAATCAAGAGACACATTAAACACAAGCATGTGTGGCTAGTACCAGGACAGCACAGCGTGCATTTTTACAGTAAATGTGTTGTTTCTTCGTTTTAGGTTTTGGTCTTGATTTATGTTTGACCTAGGATCTCACAAAGTAGCCCAGACTAGCCTCAAATTGAGGATCCTCTTGCCTTGGCCTCCCAAATGCTTAGATTATAACCAATGGGCTACCATGATTAAACATTTTTTCTAAGTAGAAGGAACACACTGTAAAATAATGATAGAGAGTATAACCTAGTAAATAACTAAGCCAGTAACATCATGGCTCTCTAGTCTGATGTTCCATGGATAACTATATATTATGCTTTCGTCTGACTGACTATGCAACAGGTTTGTTTACAGCAGCAACATGTAAGTAGGCATTGTGCCATGAAGTCACGAGGCCCTAGAAAATTTTTGGCTTCAATATAATCTTGTGTATGTAGTATACCATTGACTGAAATATCATTTTGTAGTTCGTGACTATAGTATCAGACTAAGTATAATCCCAGGTAATAACCAATATTTTGATTTTGTTGTTTTTGTTGACCTTGTATCATAGTTGTAAAAGTGGCTCTTCAAGGACTATGCACTCCTCAGATAAGGATCTGCTTCCTTATGGGTCTTCCATCACTGACTGAAACTCTATGCTTCCTAACCCACAAAAACCTATAATTGAGGGCGATTTTTTTAATGAAAAACTGACTTTGGTTTTGTGTTATATTTATTTAGGGTGGCACATGTGCATGGAGGTCAGAGAATAAGTTGAAGGAGTCTTCCTTCCACCCTGTGGTTCCAGGAATTAAACTCAGGGTGTCTTTGTTTTAGACAGCACAGAACTCCTGCATATTTTTCATTAGTTTCTACAAAAACATGGGAATAGCACTTGCATCTAGCCAGTTATTAGAAATGTGGAATAGCTAAGAAGCTTTTTTTGTAGAGAAGAGGTTCATAGCTATCTACTGCAGTTCAAAATCTGCAACAAAAAAAAAATCTGCAATTCAAGAGTAGAATTGCAGGGGCTTGCAAGAAGGTTCTGTGGTTGAGAGTGCTTGCTCTTCTGAAGGACTCGAGTTCAGTTTTCAGCACCTACATCAGGAAGCTCATGACTGCCGCCATAACTCCAGGTCCAGGGGATCTGACATCTTCTGACCTGCAAGGTCATCTACACAAAGGTGTATACGTACAGGCACAGCAAAAATAATACATATCTTTTTTTCTTAAAAAAAAACAATTACAGATCGTAATTCGTGTTGAAAATAACCTTGTTCTTACTGCAACTATTTATTTTAAATGCTTATTTTAAAGTCTTGAGAGCTTGTTTGGAAGTTCTAGCAGGGCACCAGTCCTCTATTCGGGGAAGGTCATCCTCTTCAACGGCGCGCACAGCTTTGGGAGAGACACACATGGAGCAGTGAGGAAGGGGACACCCGCCTAGGCAGCCAGATCAGCTGAATCAACCCTGGCAATCAGTGGGGTGACAGATGTCGCAGCCAGATCGCCCTCACGTCCTAAATGCTTATTTTAAAATAATAGTTACAATATAACATGTATCATGCCCATACCTGTGAGTTTTTAAATACATGCTATTTCATTTTATGTGTAATGTTTCTAAAACTTTGTCCTTCAAAGTAACTATCTTGAAAGAAGCAATTTCATATGTCCCCTACCTAATTTTTCTTTCTTTCTCTTTTCTCTCTCTCTCTCTCTCTCTCTCTCTCTCTCTCTCTCTCTCTCTCTCTCTCTCTCTGTCTGTCTCTCTCTCCCTCCCTCCCTCCTTCCCTCCCTCCCTCCCTCTCTTGTTTTGTGGTTTGGTGGTTTTTTGTTTTTGACCCTACCTAATTTTTCTGAGCTTTAATGGCTAAATTCAAACACATCTCTGAGAGTGTTTAACTCCATTCTATTTGACTGTAGTAAATTAGAAATACAGTTCTATGTCTGGGCGAGCTTACTTTTACAGCTGAGATGTGTCCTTATTGAACTCAGTTTGAATACCACCTTTGCTATCGAAGTCATTCCTAAATTACTCTAAATCCATGTTAACCTTCTCTGTTTTCCACTCTCTACTCCTGTGTGTGCATTCTAATACAGCTGACCTGCTGAAGCAGGCCCTTTCCCTGCAGAATGAGCCTGGACAGTTCTCCTACATCTGTCCTAGGCTCAGCTTAGCTTTGTGAGTGTGATCTCATTTAATCATTGTTGTCCTCGATATACCAAAGCAGGAAAATAAAAAGGGTTGGTGCCCTATTAGTGTCCTCACATTTGAATAATTGTAAACCGCTTTGGGGTGGGCTACTCAGTCTAGGGGTTGTAACCCACCCTGCAGTCAGTTATTCCAGGGTCCCGGAGAGGCGCTATCTGGAAGATATGAGCTGAGAGGAAGGAGGCCATGCTAGGTTTGTCAGAGCCTCCGTTTATTAGAGATGGGGTACAGCTTATATAGGGTAAGGAGTTGGGGGGTGGGCACAGCCGCGTGGTTCATGTTGGTCACGTGGTCCTCGTTGGTCACGTAGGTCAGGAAGTCACGAGTTGACACACCTAGTTCTCTAGATAGTTTGGAATGTGGGGCGGTTCCGCTAACAGATAGCTCTCTATTAACAGCCAATTTGGGTGTGGGGTAGGCTCTGTCTATAGAACGATTCCTAACACAATTAGGGGTGTGGGGTTCTCTGCAGACTCCCCAGGGTGATGCAATAATTTTAGGAGGAAATTGGCTCCTGACAAATAATCACAACAGGAGTGAATTGCCCTGGATATTTATTATCTTGTTTCTCGATATTGCATATGTGGGGACCAGATTACAATTCATTCCTCTCCAGACATGATGTCTTCTATGGGATAAGTATGATTTAAGCTCTAAATTCAGGCAGGACTGAGGCTAAATTCCTTCCTTCTGCTGTGAACTGGCTCTGTGAACTCAAGCTCAACCTTAGTTGGAGTAAGAACTACATTGATATGTTTACTGTACTTAGGCTGTTTTCTGCCTGACATGTGCTTAATACCTCATCAGTGTTAGCTAGTAAGAATTAACAGTTACCCACAGTGTCTGTCATCTGCCCGTGGACAGAGCTGACATTGTAAGCTCAGGAAAACACTGAGCACAATAGTAACTGGCCCATTTGCAAGTAGGCTCACCTCACCATTCACTGCTCTTTATGTGCAGTTTATTCTCCACAATTTTGAACAAATCTATCTGACTATAAATTCCTATATAACCTGAACCCATTTCATAGAATTATTTAGGACCATTTCAGAGTAGTAAATCTTTTTGGAGGTGAAGGAGACTAAATAAATAAATTAGACCTTTTTACAGGATGAGGTTTTTTCCAGAAATCATTAAAGCTCACACAGACAAATTCCTCACAGCTTACCTACCTTTTAAGCCTTGATTTATTTTGCATTTCTGAACTTATAGAAAATGTGTGTGTGTTGTGTTTCCCTATCAGTAAGTATTTTCAGAAATAATAATGCCTCAAAATCTTTGAATACCTAGCACAGTGCTTATAAAACATCTTTATTCATTTATCAAATATCTAAGTGCCTCCTGTGTTCCAGGTGTACTGTGCTAGCCACTAAGGATCTGGTAGTGAACAGGAAAAACATAGTTCCAACCCTCATGGAATTTCCCATTTTAGTGAGGATGCAGGATAGAGGTAGGAACAGACTGAACATACCAAATAGCATGGTAATTTTACACAGTGATAATAACTCTGAATAAAAGATTGTAGATCAGTGACAGAAGTAAAGTGTCAGCTATTCTATATCCATGGGGGAAGCTCTTCTGAAGGGTCAGCTAAGCTGAGACTTGTTACAGGAAGAGCTGGCCGCCAAACATTCCAACAGGAGGAAGAAGCAGAAGGAAGTTGTGTAGGTTCAAGGAGTACAACTAAGTCCATTAAAGACTGGATTTAGTAAAAAGGAAGAAAGTGATACAGAAATGCTTACAGAGCTTGGCAGAGGCCAGACCAAGCTCTTCCAGACCATAGTAAAGAGTCTAGGGTTTTCTCCTGATTAATTAGGGATTGCACTGAGTGATTGCAAGCAAGAAAATATGATGCAATCCATGCTTTCGAAGCCGTTCCTGGAGATAGTAGCACATTCCTGTCATCCGGCACTTGATAGGCTGAGGTGGGAGAAACACTGCCAGTCTGAGTCCAACCTGAGGTACATAGTATCAGGCCAGCCTGTCTCAAATGAAGGGGTGGAAAATTCTGGAGCTCACATGTTGTAAACAGACTGTAGGAGAGAGACCCATTAGAAGACATTGAAAGAAATGATGGAGGCTCAGAGAAAGATGGGAGTGGTGACAGGTTGCCCACCTGTGGCAGGTGGTAGAGAACAACACGGCTTGCTCATAATTGGAATGTAAAGTTGTGTGACTATCCTCATTAGTAGAGATTTCCCTGTGAGATAGACACTTATTTAAAGTCACACACCTAGAAAATGGCCTCCCTAAGGTTCACATCTTGCTGACTCCAAAGCCCAGACTCTTAAACAGCAGACTATTTGTAATGCTGATGAGTTTCCCTGGAGGCTTAAATCAAGCTTATTGGTAAAATATCAAGTATGACCATATTTGGCGACATTTAAACTTTTTAAAAATTCAGTTTGGTACTGCTTTATGATTGAGGACTTATTCTCCCTTATAAGTAATACATTAAATGCAAGGGCCTGTTTATATAACGTTAAAGGATGAATAGAAAACATCTACAAGAAGAGCATAAACATTTTATCCAATTCATGAGACTTCGGGCTGACCTATCCCCATGACAGTTTGCCTGTGTTTACCAGTCAAAGTATCATGAGTCGTAAAAGATATCTCTCTACTTGATATGATGAACCTGACCTTAACAGATGACTTTTTCTACTTGGCCCATTCTTGATTTGGCCTCTCTACTCTAAATCTTAGCTTCTTTGGTGTCTAGCTACAATTAGACCACAGAAAGAAGGATTTGCACAAATGGTCCAACCTACACTTGGTAGCTGTGGTTTGCAGGGCCCCTGCAGAGCTCTACTCTAAAACTGTGTGTTGTCAATGCCCTTTAGTAAGCCTCACCTACGCCTGCAGTTGAGAACAGCAGCCTGGGATTGTGGCAGTACTGACCTTTTCCGTTAGAAATGGAATAACTGTATTACTCTGGACACCTACTGATGACAACTCAGCACCATCTCCTTTCTGGTTTTAACACATCATTACCTTGTTTTTGCCTTGTATGCATGACTTTAAAATAGCTAAGTCATGGCTCTGATAAGCCTTTTAGGAAGTGATTTCAAATGCTGAAATACTATTTAATTGCATTTCATTATCTGTACATATCTCATTACCACACATATTATAGCTGGAAGTCAAACTAAATTTAGAATTAGCATACACACACTAATAGACATATTAGTATAACTGTAGAAAGTTTCAAACAGACTAACATAGTTACTTGTAAATTCTCTTTGAGCTAAAATTTCTCATGCTTATTAAAAAGGGTTTATGATGGCACAAAGCAGGAAGATATCCTTTTGTAGAGAAACAGATGAGATTTATTATCAAAATTCACCAAGATGACATACAGATGTCAGTATAAAGAAATCATTTTTCTTTGTTAGTGAGTTTTGCAAAATAAATAAGTAATCATTTTCAACTTAGGGGAAGAGGTGTAGCTCAGTTGATAGAGTGCTTGTCTAGAATTCACAAAGCCCTAGGTTCCATCCCCAGCACCGAGTATGGTGATGCACCCGTGTAGTTCTCAACCTTGGGAGATAGAAAGAGAAGGCCAAGGTCATCCTTTCCTACATAGTGAATTCAAGGCCGACCTGGAATACATGAGACCCTGTCTCCAAAAATAATAATAATAACAATAATAATAATAATAATAATTGTCAGATTTATCCAAGAGCTCCAAAACACAAAAGGACTCCCACGGTGGAAGTAGAGAACTGCTCCCACAAGTTGTCCTCTGACCTCCACATGCACACATAGATAGATGTAAAAACATTTCAACTTTCAATTTTGAGTTTTATATGTGTGATATTTTAGAAAATTGGTGTCTTAAGTACGTCTGTACAGTTTGTTTTTATTTCCTAAACCATGTTATAAATTATGTTCGTCCTCTGGGCTATATGATGGTATCATGGTAGACATCGTTGATATCACTGTATAATTGTCCATTCAGTTATGAACCTGAAGCTTATGGGTCCTTCTCAATCCTTGCTTCTTCCTCATTTCCATTAGCAACATACTATCATTCATATCCCAGAAGATATTTATTCAGTGCAGTAATTACTACACAATGTCTTTTAAATTTGATTATTTTAGTTTAAAGCCCCAGTGCTAATTTGCTGGTTATTTTTATAAATGTTCTTTCTACTAAATTATTTAAAATTTTAGTATTTCAGTTTTTATTTGAACATGTGAGTTAGATACAGTTTTACAGCCTAACACCAGATGCTACCTCTAACCCTGATAATTGATAGGCCTATCCATTCATTGGTTTGCTCCCTTACTTGCTCATTCTATTTTTTAAAATAAATCCATCTATCATGATAATTTGCCGCAAAGAAATTGAGGTAGTTTAGAGGTATGGTTTGTTCTGAGTAACTGTAAATGAAAAAAATACTTTTTGAGAAGAAATGATATTGCATATGTTTTTATAGCATATTTCTGCTAGAATGATACTATAACTACTATTTTTCTTCTTTCATAAAAATGCCAGGCCTTACTTCAGACTCACGATGTAGTGGCACATGAAGTTTACAGTGATGAAGCACTAAGGGTCACACCTCCCCCGACCTCTCCCTATTTAAATGGTGATTCTCCAGAAAGCGCTAATGGAGACATGGACATGGAGAATGTGACCAGAGTGCGGCTTGTACAGTTCCAGAAGAACACAGATGAACCAATGGTAAGTAGGAAAAACTTGAGTTACAATCAGCTAACTCAACCTGTACAGACTGCTGCTCAAGGAGGAAGGGAAGAAGGTGGAATGGATGGTTCTAAAAAAATCAGTTTCCTATAGATGTTCGAAATAATATTAGAATTAAAATTAAATATTACATATTCAGTCTGAAAGTATACAATATGTGAAACCCGAAAAATGTTTCATATTAAAAATGAAAATACTATTAAAATATTGTTACACAAATCATAATGGTACCCTACACATACAGAAATTATGACTGTATTTAGAGTCTTTGCATATAATGCTTGAAGGAGGCTTTATACACCTACTTATGTTTCCTTTTAACAAGCTGTTTTCTGTTTAATAGGAACAAGCAGATATTGCTTCATTTATTAGACATACTGGCCATCACACCTCTACTGTAACAATTACTTTTCAACTTTCCAGGAAGAGGTACATTACTCCAGAATGTAAAAACAAAAAAACAAAAAAAAAAAAAACCTCATATAGCAAAGAAAGAGGCAATTTGAAGAATTAACATTGTAACAGGTTGAGACCCACAGGTTGAGAACCACTGCTTCAAATAGTAAATACACTAGAGAAAAACACTTACCCAGACAACACTCTGGCTTTGGAGAGAAAACTTATTTGTATCAGACACATTCACAATTTACAATTCATAAATATGTAGTCAACCTTCATTATCTGTAGATTCCCTATCTGCAAATCTGCCTGTTTACCATGACATCTGAAATCTCCAGAGTCAATGTGCGGCGCTTTTCTGTTGTTGTTCACTTGTGGACACAACAAGGTGACAGAATTTCAAGTTGCCCCTTGTGCACACGATCAGCAGAAGTTGAGCAGGGTGAGACTGTGCCTTCCTGTCTCATATTTTAATTAATTAATTTAATAAAAATTCCAGTACTCTCCATATTTTTTTGCTTTCACCAAAATTTGAAGAAAAGTAATTCAGAAGACATTCAAAGACCTGAATGGTGTTGCTAAAAATAAGATTTCTTCCATTCACATCAACCTGTTTTTTCATTTCCTCCCATGCTGAGGCATGCAGTTGGCAGAGAACTGGTACTGTACCTCCACTCATTCTCAGGAGCATCATAGATGGAGATGATCAGAAAGGGCTCTGGGGTGGTCACTAAGCAGATGGAAAGAATGGGGAACTAAGGTGACGAGCAAACCAAAGAGCATGTGCAGAAGCCCGGTAGTAATAAGGCTCTTTCATAGTTTCCAGGTGGAAACAAGGCATTGCAGCTGGGCAACAGACAGCATGGCAAGCGGTGAGAGTGGGACCACACGGTAGTGAAAGACATGCTATGGTGTCTGTTCTTTAGCCTAAAAACAGCAGAAAGCTATTGAGGGTTTTAAGCATGAAACTGGATTAGGTTTTCATTTTAGATTTAGCGATCTAAAAACTGTATTATATAGATTCTAGAGAGACTAGATAACAAAGCAGATCCTGCCATGGTACAGGGGAGAGATAATGGTACTCAGAACTAGTGGGATGTCTATCAAGGCAGAAAGAAAGAGCCAGGCATGCTGACACATGCCTGTAATCCCAGCCCTGAGGGTATGAGAAAATCGATTTAATAGCAAATTCAAAGCCAATTTGGGCTACTTGAGGTACTATCTCAAAAAAAAAAAGAATGAATGAAAGTAAATCCATGAGGCATGTAATAGGTTGCAATGAAAGAAGCAAGAATCAAGGATGACCCTGAAACTTCAGGGTTCGTACAATTGAAAGCATAAGGAGATAATGACATTGTGAAGAAGAGCACTGGGCAACCTTCAAGTTTAGAGATGGGAGCATATTTCTAGACATTCAAATATATGCATTTATCTTTTCTTCAAAGCTTAAAAAAAAACAAAATACCTACTTAAGAAAGAAGAGCAGATCTGTGACCACAATTCCCAGAAAGCCCTCAGTTCTCTGTATTCTTGTTCATTGTTCTTTGTCAGTTGTCTACCATTGTCTGGCAGCATACAAGGGGGCATGCAAATCAGGTACCTGTTCTGGTGCTCTCTAGGCTTAGCACGCCTTGGTCTTAAGAGTATGTGGCAACAGTTTTTGAGGCCTTGCGCATCTCACTTGATATCCATCAGGTTATAAACTTCTAGAAGCACACTGACTAAATGATCCTGAGTTTCCTCCAAACTGTGAAAGTCAAAAATTTCATACTCTGATTTGCCCAATGAGCAAATGTTAAAAGTCCATTGATACATTGCTGCTTTAGATCCCTGTGATATAGGGGCAGACAAGATATAGCTATATCCACTTTCCACAGGGTGGTCCACGCTAAGGAAGTAAATTTGCAGTTTAACACAGTTTGGCAAGACAAAACAAAACTAGAGGCAAGAAAAGGCTGTCTGGAAAGAGAAGAGGTAATGTCCAACCAAGCAAAGCAGACAGAAAGGTGTAAGGGACCATAAGGAGGTCCCAGAATACCTTGTGATCATATAATCTGAAGCAAAATAATGGCAGTTGTCTTTTCAGTGCGACTGACTACACAGATTGAGGGAAAGTACACACATCTATCCCTGAGTTAGTTTTTTCAGAAAGCAAAAATGACCTTGAACCACTCTTTAAAGTCTACTTTAAAAGGGTGTTCTCATTTGTGATCTCAGTGATAGCATATTTTTCACTGGCTGCCTTGAAAACAGGAATAGTTTTATGTAAAATATATATTAACAGTAATAGAATATAGCTACCACAATTACTATGGTCGTTTGCCTGTTTGCTTTTCTTCTTCATAACTCTGAATTACTCTGAAGATTATGTCTACATAACCTCTTCTGCCTAGGGACCGTCTATAATGCATGCATTCCCTAAGGGTAATACACTTCCTCTATACCCTGTTTTCCCAGTTTGTAACACTATACTCACAATTGTTTCCCTGTTGACTGGGAGTCCCATAGTTAGAAATGACAAATAACCTACTTGAACTAGCTTAACAAGAAGGGAAAGGCTTTTTTTCTGTAAGCAATAAAAGACAAGGAATACATGCCACCACCACCCCAATTCCTCAAGCTGAGCCAGTACTTTCCCTGGAATTTATGATCTTGGGAACAGAAAGAACATGAGTCAATTCTTCTCTGCAAAGAAATTTGGGGGCAGACAGAATAAAAAATATTGGCTATACTTGGTTTGAAGTAAATTTCCCTGTCAATGAAGATACTGTCTGACTCCTTTATTACTGTGCCTAAAAGGGTGTCTATAACATAGTAGGTTCTCATCCATGTTAACTGAGTTAATATAGAAACCTATTAGCTTTAAGGGTGGAATCTCTGTTGTGCCATCATTTCCCTTATGAAACTCAGTTTGATGTATACATTTATTTATGGCATTTTCCAGAATACTACTCTAAGTAACCATATATGCTGATTGAATGTACCAATTGGAAATGAAACCTGAACATTACAGTTGACTGTTAGTACCAAAATCGTTTTGATAAACTATACCTTTCACAGTACTTTCCTACTCCTTCTGAGAGCTTCAAAATAGAAACCATGCAAAAATATATCATGTGTAGGCCGGGCGGTGGTGGCGCACGCCTTTAATCCCAGCACTTGGGAGGCAGAGGCAGGCGGATCTCTGTGAGTTCGAGACCAGCCTGGTCTACAGAGGTAGTTCCAGGACAGGCTCCAAAGCCACAGAGAAACCCTGTCTCGAAAAAAAAAAAAAAAGAAAAAAAAATATCATGTGGCATGGTTCAAATTAAGCTAGAATATAAATTCTCAGAGAACTCCATGAAGCTTTCTGACAGAACACCATTTTCCAAATGTTATTCAGTCCAAAACTGAATGCCTACTACTAACCACTTCAAATTCAAGAACACCATCCTATAAAGTGACCTTGTTAAAACATGCACAATTCTGATCTCCATTCCCATCCACGAATATAAATCTAAACAGTACATAAGAGTCAGCATTGTTTAACAGCTTCCTGTGTGATTGTTAGGATCAACCAGGTCTATCTCAAAAGCTTGTTTATGGAAGTTTGTCTTTTGTTAGGGAATATTTGAAAAACAAAATGTAAATTGGCTTTAAATATAACCATGAAACTAAACTTGGGCTTCCAGTCCTCTCATCTGAAACAGATGAAATTAGGACAAATATTAAATTAACCGAGAATGGTTTTTGAGACGTTGGACATCAAACAGCAAAGGACAGAGATCTCTGAGAGAGCAGATGCAAAGCCAGTGACACCTGTAACTGTCTCACCTTCCTGCCATCAGAGTTTCTAGGCCACTACAGGGGGAGGGAGTTCAGAAGCTGTAGTAACAAGGGTGGCGGGGCTGCGTCCCCAGCACCCCAGCTGCCTGGCTAGCTTATGCCCAAAATAACAACACACAAACTATATTCATTTAATCACTACTTGGCCCATTTCTATCTAGCCTCTTCTAGGCTAATTCTCACATATTAATTTAGCCCATTTCTAATCATCTGTGTAGCGCCCCTAGGTGCACTTACCGGGAAGATTCTAGCCTATGTCCATCCTGGGTCAGAGCTTCATCACGTGTGTCTGCCTGGGAGCTGGGAGCATGGCGTCTCTCTGAGGCGTGTGCTCCCGAGAGGAGAGCTGTGGAGTCTGAGCTCACTTCCTCTTCCTCCTAGCATTCTGTTCTGTTTACTCCTCCCACCTATCTTCTAACCAATGAGGGCCAAGCAGTTTCTTTTTATTTAACCAATGACCTTCCTCCATCAAGAAGCAAAGCAGGCAGAGTCCCTGAATTGAGGAAGCAGAGCTAAGAATCCTAGGGAGACCAACAAAGGTATCTTCCAAAAATGGGCCAAATATAAACATCTGTAGACACACCAAAGTTAAAAGACTATAACTTTTTCCCATATCTCTTAAGTCTCATTAAAAATACTTTGCATGGGGATGCACAACAGATTACAAGGGTAACACAAAAGTCAAGGATATAGAAATGGCTATGTACTTTCAGAAAGTTCTCATAAATGAAGTAGTGTACTATCACTCAAGGACAAATAGGTAGGTTAAATACATATGCTATAGTAAAGCCAAATACAGCCACCGAAGCAGCAACATGAAGGATTACAACTAATTTGGATTGGGGGAGACTGAAGAGATGGCTCAGTGGGTAAGAGTTTGCTGAGTTGGGATCCCCAGCATTCATGTAAAAAGTCAGATGTGCTTGTAATTGCAGCACTGGAGATGAAGGACAGAGGAGAATCACTAGGACTTGTTAACTGTCAGCAGAGCCAAAATAATGCAAGGTACAACATAATGAGAATAATCCACAAGAATACAGAAAAAGAGGTTAAAAGGAAACATTAGGAGAAGTGGAACATAAAAAGAAGACATATTTATACCAAACTATGTAGCACAAGTAATAAAAACCCGGAGGCAGATATTGGGATTCAACCTGAAGATCAGAGAAGCGAATCAGCCAAGCCACTAAAGAGCTCTTACCTGTATGAAATCTTCAGACTGAAAAGAAAGCTAGTTCCTGTCTCATCCTGCCATATATTTCTCTCTAGTGCTGGGATTAAAGGTGTGTGCCACCACTGCCTGGCCTTTATGACTGACTAGTGTGGCTGTTTTGTGTTCTGATCTTCAGGCAAGCTTTATTTATTAAAACACAAATGAAATATTACTATAAAACTATGGTAACAATCATACTAAATCTTAATAGTCTAAATTATCCTATTAAAAAGCAAAAGGTTCACAGGCCTTTAATACCAGCACTCTGGAGGCAGAGGCAAGTGGATCTCTGTGAGTTCAAGACCATCCTGGTCTACAAAGCAAGTTCCCGTACAGGCAGGGATACACAGAGAAACTCTGTCTGGAAACCACCCCTGCAAGAAAAAAGATGACAGAGAAATTCTGTCTGGAAACCCACCCCTGAAAGAAAAAAGATGAGGTTGTCTGTCAAATTGGTTAAAAAAACAAAAAAGTATTCATCACATTCTGCCTGCAAGAAATGTGCTTTATGCAACAAGAAGAATTGTTTCAAAATAAGTATAGAAAAGCTATACCACTATAAAATTATTAGGATGAAGGCTGAAGTTTCTATATTAATATCAGAGTTTATTCTAGAACCACAATGAAGGTAACTTGAAAATTAATAACAGATGTTCTATCAGGAACCCACTAAGGCCAGCTGGCCTGGGTCTGAAAAAGCATGGGATAAAACCAGACTTGCTGAACATAGCGGACAATGAGGACTACTGAGAACTCAAGAACAATGGCAATGGGTTTTTGATCCTACTGCACATACTGGCTTTGGGGGAGCCTAGGCAGTTTGGATGCTCACCTTACTAGACCTGGATGGAGGTGGGTGGTCCTTGGACTTCCCACAGGTCACGGAACCCTGATTGTTCTTTGAGCTGATGAGGGAGGGGGACTTGATCGGGGGGAGGGGGAGGGAAATGGGAGGCGGTGGCGGGGAAGAGGCAGAAATCTTTAATTAATAAATAAATAAATAAATAATAAAAAAAGAAAATTAATAACAGAGAAGCCAGGTATATTGTTACACACCTGTATGTAATTCCAGTGTTCAAGAGGCAGAGTCAGGAGGATTGTGGATTTGAAACCAGCCTGAGCTACACAGCAAGAATGTCTCAAAAATAAATAAAAAGAATAATAATGAAAAGAAAATTTAAAAGACAGTATCTCAAATACTTGGAAAACTAAGTAACACAATTTGAAGTAACCCATAGATAAAAGAAAAAAATCAGAAGGTAATAGCATTTTGCAATTAATGAAAATTAACTACACTGTTTCAAATTTTGTGTGATACAACTGAAATAGTACTTAATAAGGAGACATATGTAACACTAATATTTAATATTTCTAATATTTAAATATATATTAAAGAACAAAAATCTCTCAAATTACCAACCTTTTCTCAGACCTCCACCTTTAAAAAAAAGACAAACAAGAATAAATTAAAGCCAAAATTAGTAGATGTGAGAATAATCAATAGAAATAAATGGGAATGATGATATATTGCAGTGGTAAAGTGCTGGCTTAGTATCTGAGACCCTACATTCAATCCTCGGTACTGAAAAAAAAAAGTAGAAATCAGTGGGAAAACAGAAACTCAGCAAAATCAATCAAACAGTAGATCAGATTGTTCATGAAAATACTAATATATGTTCATTTCAACAGATTATATACGAAAATATTAACACAAAAAACTATCCTGCTGTCTGTAGAAAGATGATATACAAATACATGAAATGTCCCAAATCCTGTTTTAAAAAAATGTTATGAGTAAGTGGAGATTAAGTCTGAGATGCTGCTTCCTTTGTAACTGCCAGAACTGGAAAAGGTGCAGTGGAGGGAAGTATGAACAAGTTATTGCGTGGAAACAATGCAATACCGTTCTACAAAGACAAAGATTAAGTTATTTGATAATATAACAAATGGTAGAATCTCAAAATAATTATGATAAGTTAAAGAAATTATGATAAGTTAAATGAATGTGGCTCAATTTCTAGATAATACAAACTTACCTATAGCGGGAAAGGCCCATCAGTGGTTGGTTGGGCATGAGTGTAGAGCATAGAGCAATGGGAGTAGATTACTAACAAATAAGAGGAAACCTTTGGGGATAAGACATAATTACCATCTGATTGTAGTGAAAGATTCACACATGCTTATATATGTTAAACTTAGAAAATTTTAAAGTTTGAAATATTTTAAGTGGGTTATAAAATAAAATAGTTTCTTGTAGAATATAAAGGATATACTAATAGAATATACCCTTGGCAGGAGTAAAAAAATTTTAAAAATAGTTGGGAACATAAAAACAAAGGGATGTGAGAAATAAACATAATGAAAAGATTAAAAAGCACTATATCAAATGCATGCATGCCATTCTAGCAATAAAAACACCAGCAAGCAGCATTTCTGTCATAGAACAATTTTGTGTGTAAAGTAGTAGAGGATCTTCATCTTCTATATTTTCTCTAATGATTTCATAACTCTTCTAATTATAATTACCTACAGTAAAATCACAAATAGGAAATAGTGCTTTCTGAACCAGACTAGCCCCTCTGAATGTGGGTGATGGTTATGTGGCTTGGTCTGTTGGGGGGGACTGGCAGTGGGACCGGGTCTTATCCCAGGTGCAGAAACTGGCTTTTGAGCCCATTCCCAATGGTGAGATACCTTGTTCAACCTTGATACAGAGGGAAGGGCTTGGTCCTGCCTCAACTTGGTATGCCAGACTTTGTTGACACCCCAAGGAAGGCCTTACCCCTTCTGAGAAATGGATGGGGCATAGGAAGCGGGGAGATGGGGGGTGAGAAAAGGTGAGGAAGGGGGAACTGGAGTTGGTATGTACAATGAAAAATATTTTTTTAATTAGAAAAATATGAAAGGAAATAAAGTAGTGCTCTCATTTAATTGTACCCTTACCAACTTTTTCTTTCTTTTTTTTTTTTCTTACAGGGAATCACTTTGAAAATGAATGAGCTAAATCATTGTATCGTTGCGAGAATCATGCACGGGGGTATGATTCACAGGCAAGGTGCGTTCCATTTGTAATTTTCTTAACTTTCCTTAACTCTTCCTGCACAGACTGAAGGAAATCATGGGGGGGGTCTTTTTGTTTTATGATTCAAATGAAGGAGCTGTTTGTTTTTGTGCTTCAGTCATTCTAGACCACATTCCTGAGTTCCATCCCCACCACCGCAAATGAAATAAAGTAAAATAAAAACTCCAAGTACTGTTTTATCTGTATCCCACAAATTTTTATATGCAGTCATTTGTTGTAATTCATTTGTCAGTGTTCTTACATTTCTATTATAAGTTTTCATTGGTCCATAAGTGATTTAGAAGTGTTTTTATTTATCATATTTGAAGAGATTTTCTAGACATCTTTCTGTAATTTATAACTGACTTAGTTGTGTTGTGGTCAGAGAGTGTGGTCTGTATGACATCATTTCTCAGAGGTTTGTTAAGACTTTCCTAGTGGCATAGCACTTTAATCATTTTTGGGAAACTGTTTATGAACAACCTTTATTTTTTTAACTGTTGCATACAGAGTTCCCTATATAATAATTGACTTGGTATTGTTAATGTTTTTGTTTAAATCTTCTATGTGTTGATTAATTTTTGTATGTTTGACTTACTAATATTTAAATATCCATTTATAGTAGTAGAGTATTCTAATGTCTACTTATAAACCTTTCTTTGGACATATATATTTGACTATATGGATTAGGTATATTGACCTCAAATTCACTATGTAGCCAAGGGTAACTTTAAACTTGTAATCCTCCTGCCTCTACCTCTTGAGTGTTGGGATTAAGGTTGGGCACTACTGTGACCAGTTTTGATCACAGTTTTTGATAGAGTAGCTCATTAATGTTTGTTGTGATGATTCTACTATCTTGCTCTCCTTGTTCATTTGGGGGGGATTTTTTGCTTGTTTCATTGCCCCCTATTTACTAGTTTTAAATTTCAGCACCCTATTTCTGAGATATTAATGGGTACCTTGAAATTTTAAGCTTTCTACGTATTCAAATTAAGCAATACCTTTATTGTGTTTTATTTCTGTGTGCATGCTCACATGTGCACTCCGGCACACACACAATCATTCACACACACACACATGCCACAGTGTGCATGTAGATGTCAGAGGACAATTTGCAGGAGCCAGTTCTCCTTCCACCACGTAGGATCCAGGTATTGAACTCAGATTGTCAGACTTGGTGGCAAGAGTCTTTTATTGAAGGCCCATATTTCCTTTTATTTATCTTATTCTTCCTGTATCTGTATAGTAACACTTTCACCAGCTCAAAAAAACATTCAGCTGTTCAAACATTTCCTCTTCTTCATGTTCTCTGCTCTTTCTGAATTTAAGTTACTCCTGTATTCTATAGCTTTTTAAATATATTCTTTATTTCTTGTTTCCTGTTTTCCTTATGTCTTTGTTTCTATGACCTATATTTTATGTAATCTTTTGTTTCACCTTAAAGATCACTGAACTGCTCCTCAGCCATGTCTGAATTCTTATTCAGTTTACCCATTTATTAGCTTATATCATCATTTATGTTTTTGTTTTAGAAGTACTAGTCATTTGTGTTATTTTGAGTTCTGTCTGCTCATACCTAATAGTCTCTTATTGGGTTGTCAACAAATTTCTGTGGCCATCCATTAAAACTGTGCTTTCTGAAAGTAGATCTGTCTGTTTGGATGGCTTTACTATGTAAAAGTTAAATAATTCTGCAGCCAAGTATGACTCTGTCTCTGAAACATTGACTTTTAGATATGGAACTTATTTTTCTATTACATTGATACCTTTGGCTTTTTGTTATTATGAGAACGTTTACTCATTTCATGTTTATAATTGTGTGATATTTTAGGTACACTTCATGTTGGTGATGAAATTCGAGAAATCAATGGCATCAGTGTTGCTAACCAAACAGTGGAACAACTACAAAAAATGCTTGTAAGTAATGAGAACTTCCCCTTTTTTAAGATTAAGTTTTAGTTCATTAGCTTAGATGCTGCCTTTTTATTACATTTACTGAATGTGTTTGTGTGTGAGTGTGCTTGCACACATGTCTCTACACATGTGGAGTTCAGAGGACAGCTTGAAGGAACTGGTTCTCTGCTTCCTCCATGTGTGCCCCAGAGATCAAACTCGGGTCATCAAGCTCTGTGGCAAGTGCCTTTACATGCCAAGCCATCTTTTTTACTTATTATGTTTTTAATTAAAATATAATTGCATTTCCCTCCTTCGCTTTCTTCCCTCCGTCCCCTTTTGTAGATCATTCCCTCAATCCCTCTCACTCATGACCTCTTTCCCTTTGCTATTATACATGTATAAATGTTTCTGTATATAAATACAACTTGCTGATTGCATTAAATGTTAATTGTATGTACATGCTTTCAGAGCTAACCACTTAGAATTGAATGACCAAGTGGGAGGCTTGTCCCTGGGAATGAATAATTCTCCCCCTCAACAGTCTTAAATTACCTGTAGTTCTTTGTCTAGGCTAGCAGCACCATGTGTTGTTATAACTTCAGTGCAATGGCTGTGCCTTAATGTGCTGCTATTTCAGCCAGCAATTGTGACTCCACAGTTACCTACCTGCTTCTCTGGCTGCAACCTGGCTGGAATTCTGTTTCCATAGGCAAGGGCTCTGTTGCTGCCACTAAAGGTAGCTTTAACTAAACCTCTCTCATTCTGTTTATAAATAAGACTTGAGATTCAAAGGCTGGGGTAAAAGTAGAGAGAGGTAGAGTAGCAACTAGCTAACCTTCTGTCCTTGTGGGCCTCTCCCAAAGAGAGCATCCTTCTGCTCCATCAAACAAATAAAGCTCTATGGCACTCCAAATCCCTCCCCACTGCTTCTGGTGTGTCTCTCTATATCTTCCAGGTGCCCTCTGATACTCTCTGATTACTTTCTGTCATCTAGTTGCTAACTCAGCCTCCTCACCCAAGCTTAATTTTATTTCCCCCTTCCATGATAGCATGTCTATCAATGTTCTCATTGTTTTGGTCTTGTTACTGAGCCATGTTGACAGCTCCATTAACTTATTTTGTTTAAAAAATACCTAATATATGGAAGGGAGAGATGGCTCTGTGGGTAAAAGCACTTGTGGGAGTACCTGAGCTTGGATGCCACACTAATGTAAAAAGCAGGGCGTGGTCTCACCTGCCTATAATCCCAGTATAGTATCTGGTGGAGACATGAGGGGGTAGCTGGGGCTTGCTAGCCATCAGCCTAGCTCCAGGTTCAGTAAGAGGTCCTGTCTCAAAGAAACAAGGCAGAGAGTAATGGAGCAGACCACTCCACATGTTCCTCTGGCCCCCACAAGCATATGCATACGGGTGCTGACACTTTCATACCCACATGCACATACACCGAGCACACACAGGAGCCATATTCTCACTCATACTTAACACATACACTAAATAAATAGATATTTAAAAACAAACACTGTTCTTCAGTCATAATCAAAATGCTTCTTGTGCCATCATGCATGTGAAGTTAAACTGTGCAATGTTCATTAAAAACTGACAACCAGGGAAACGTTTTAATTGCAGTGGAGTTTTGAGCCATTTTTCCTGCCTTTAGCAGTGTGGGCTTTTACACTGTTCATCCTTCATCTGTTTCTTGCCAACCAGATATTTATAAAAAAAAAATTAAAAAAAAAAACCTTCCCAATGTGTACTCATGTGAACTAGTTTCTCACTGACCTCAAAAGACTCCTGACATAAGCAATATCAGAAACCTCTTTCCTGTTTAGCTGAGTCATGGCCAGCTGTAGTGTATCTCTGCACAGCACAAATGAGAGGAAAGTCACTATAGGCCAGGTCATTATTGACTATACTCAAAAAAATCTCTGTGCTGAAATTAGACCTTCAATAAAAAGCATTGACATCCGTTGACAGACCCCCATCTGTGTCTCTGTTGTAGCAAACAGAGGGAAGCGTTTGTTTTCTGCTTTGGGTCCTTCTTTCTGCTTCCCATGTAATGAATGCCTATTAGGCATGAAGTAAGCAGCCAAGGCTTGCTGTCGTAAAAAAGTTTGCCAAAATTCATAAAGTATAAAAGCAATTTTATGGTGGTAGCATCAGAAAGTAGCATATTAAATGGAATTTTTATGTAAATAGTCTCTTGTTCAGTTCAATGTATAGTTGTCATTCCTGTAAGGTGTGTCATTTCGACTCTTGCTTATTCATATCTACAAAAAGATAACCATCAGAGATCTCTATGACCACTTACTGCTAGGTATGAGACAGTCAGCCTTGGCTTCACTGGACCTTTCCCAGAAACTTCTACCAGTGACCTGAGTGGTTTTTGCCTTGTAGTGAGGTTTTATTTTAGGGCTGTGTGCTGTCAAGTGGTGTGTACTAACTGCACCCACGTGTTTTGAATGGTTTCTTGTGTTTTTGTGTGCAACATGTGTTTGCATGAGAACTCTCCTCTTTTCTTCCTCGCAGAGGGAAATGCGGGGGAGTATTACCTTCAAGATTGTACCAAGCTACCGCACTCAGTCTTCATCCTGTGAGGTAATAACTTGAACAAGCCTCCCCCCTATCCTGAGTTCTTAACTAACTGTCTGCTGATGGCTGAATGTTTTTGCTTTCTGGAAAATTGTTTCTGCCTGTGCTGTTAGATCACTGCACACCAATTTTACAACGAAGATAACGGAACAGAGGAGGTCCCAACCACCTCCTCGGCCCCACTTCCATGCAGATATCTTCAGCCTTTCTGCAGCCAAATCTAAGCCAAATATAGAAAAACTCCAATAACAGAAAAAAATGAAATCCCCGAGGCAAAAAAAAAAATATAGTAGTATTTTCAGGAAGTCCATTCTCAAGTAGTTCTTCTTTCTAAGAATCTGAGACGAGATCAAGTCCTGTTGAGACATTGCTGTTTGAATGACTGCAGGCCTTAAGATGAGCATTACGACCCTGGGGAATTGGTAACTGACTTCACTACAGGGGTGTAGGCTTTTGCAACCTTTCAGAAAAGTCTGCATATGTGAAATGTTAAGCTACTCCTAAACAAATACCTTTTGTAGAATAACAGCCCCAAAGTTTCTTAAAACATATTTATCCTCTTGCAAATAGAGCTCTTTCAACTTACATTTTTTTCAGTTTTATGTTGTTCATTATAGTAAAAGAAATCTATTCTTTCTATATTTTGAGACACAAATTACCATAACAATTTTGGTTGTAGCTTATTCAGCACAAGTATTACTTATTGGAGCTTATTTTAAAATTTTTCCTGTGGATTTTCCAAATATGTTATTCTAAAGTACAAGAGCTGGGGATATAGCTCAGTGATAAAATACTTGCCTGGCATGTGTGAGGCCCTAGGTTCAAATCCTATCACTGCAAATAAATAGATATAATGTGTACATTTTATAAAGGTAATTTTTAAGGGCCAGTAACGAACTTACTAGATTTGTGTTTAAGAATATTTGAAATAGAAATTATACTTTTTTCAAGTCTCTAATGATGCTACGGATATCACAAGAAAACAATTAGAGTGTTCATATTTTTCATCTAAGCTTATTCAACATATGTATAAGATCTGTGCTTTTGTCAAATATATTTTTAGTGAGGCAGTGACAAAGTGTCTATTTTGTTGAGACTTGAGCTCCTCTTGGTGGCTTCCTATGGAATGTCAATTAATAATACATTTCAAAACTTTGCAAAACTTCTCCAGCTTCAAGATTTGGAGCATTGAATTTTGTTAGAGTATGAACCTTTCAGAGAAAGAGAATAGCATGCATACATTTTTCTATAGATAATTTAAATACTCTAAAACCATAGGTGTTCCTCACACCATTTTTCATGTGTTAAAGAAACTGAATAAATAGATTGGATTGGGGGATGCTAACCAGAGATATTGTTAGTTATTAGTACAAGTTTCTCTCTCTCTTTTTTTTTTAAATAGTTGAACTAGTTAGAGGGAAACACAGGTATTATACATATAAATTCTATACCTTTGAATATTAGAAAAAAAGCAATGATTCCCTTCTTCATATTCTTTATATGTTCACCTCCAACATATAAACACACTGGTTTGTTTGTTTTTTTTTTTTACATGCCTGGCTATAGCAAGGCTTCTCAAATGAAGGCTCATACTTCCACCATACCCTACCCAACTGACTTAAATCCCAAAGACTGACAGATAGAGATCAAGCTACTCAGTAATATTTTAGAATGTTTTCTGAGGGATCTCATTCTATTTCAGGGTAGCCAATTCCAGAAGATTTCTTTCAATATTCTAGAAAAAATACCTATCTTTTGAACAGAAGTTCATAAAGAACTCTAAATTTAAATATTTAAAGCACTTATTTTCTTCTCCTCTTAGCTCTTTTCATTAAAGTTGACTTGGAATGGAACCTGCGAAGGATTCTGAGTGGGTTGGACAACAGAGCAGTCTGGGAATCTGGCTCTAGGGAGATGCTGTGACTCGTGAGAGTTTGTCCAGAAGCAGAAGATTGCTGCTTGGAGTTACTATTGTACTAAGTCTGCTAAAATGACACAACAGAAGAGAGTTGCCCTCTGCTGCAGCTTTCTCTTTTATCCCCATTAGTAATTTTTATTCTAGAAATGTCTTGACAATGAAATACCTAAAAACCATTGACTACTTCTCAAAGCCATTCTTTAACCTATTCTTTAAAATAAAACTAGGCAGTCGAGATCTTTAGCACAGTAGCATTATAATATTTAGCATCATTAGATATTTGATAGGGTCTTAATATCACTCTCCTGGGGTCCCAATAAAAAAATAAAGATTGTAGAATTTGGGATATAGGAGGAAAATAATCATTAATGAATGATAATACCATCCTCACTGATAATATGGGAATCTTCAAACTACAAAAAAGTTCTTTCATACTTCTGCAAAATCATGCAAGTAAGTCAGTATGGCACCTTTTATAGCACTAACCTCAAAGGAAATGGTTGTCAGACTGTGGTTGTAACTGTTGATGTAAACATCTGTTTCTGTGCTGGTGTTCTGTGTTAATGAACCTTGTGTCTTATTTCAGAGAGATTCCCCCTCCACTTCCAGACAGTCCCCTGCTAATGGTCATAGCAGCACTAACAATTCTGTTTCGGTAAGAACTCTAGCTCCACACAGCCAAGTGTGGCAATTGTGTTGGTGCTCACCTGCCATGAGTGTTTAGTTCCATGTGTTCAGTGGAAAGATTGTCTTCTGCAGACACACAAGGCTACTGCAGCGGCAGTGCACTTCACTCCGGAAAACCCTTCCTCAACATTTCTTTCTCCTTAAAAATCAGTTACATCTGAAGAAACGTAGTCCAAGACTGCTAGAGCTGTTCTAAAATTCACTCTCTACCTCCCTACCAGTATGTATGACTGTTCAGAGGATATAAATAGAACTGGGTTGAAATTTCTTTTAGAATTTTTTAATTTAAAGAAATTGACAAAGAAATATAAGGGCTTTTGCAGAATAAGGATTTGGGTATTCTGAGGGATATCAGCAACATGTTTTAGTTTCCGCTATCTAAGTTTATGAATTGGTGTGCCCTCTTGTTATTGTGGTACGTGCACATATTTTTGTGAGTTATAAGCCTTGCCTGGATATGAAAAGCAAAAGGAACTGGCTTCAAACTGCACTTCAGCCACGCTGGTATCACATCTTTAACACAAAGTACATATTTGACTTGAACTTGGAAAGTTGCTGTTTTTCAGAACTCTCCATTTTGGCTTCTATAAAGAATCGTTTAGTCAAACAGAAGCATTCCCATGTGCAGGTTTGCCACTTTTCGGGATAGCCAAATCTCTAAGTTATTGGTGGTGCTGCCTGTCAGTCAGCTGCAATTAGGAGCTCTAAGAATACAGCACCGTTACCTTTTGTCCTGATTTCTAATTTGCCCTTTAAAACTATATCAACTTTTTTATCAAATAAAATCATAAATCATTCAAAGATTATCTCAAATGGAATGATATCCCAAGTATCTAAGTAAGAAAAATTGTGCGAGAAAATTATTCATAACTGTGTTTCCAAATGTGAATCTAGGCTCCCAAAGAATTCCTTTTTACCATTCACATGTAGCCCTTTTATGATGGGAAAAGGCCATAGAGCCATTAAACTTGTCCAAATCTGAGCGGTTGCAGTGATAGTTGAAAAAGACAACCGTTCTCTTGCTCAGGGGTTTTTGTAATAGGCTGTTTGAACCGCAGTGGCTTTTGTGTTGAAGATGTTGAGTTGTTTCTTAAGAACACATTATCTCTCTGCTTCAACTTACCTGCTTTCTTCAGCTTGCTGCTAAATGGCCTGGGTTTGATTTTTTTTTTTAATAACTCAACACTTCTAAGAAATGTGATAATGTATATGATCTCTTTACAACTTAAAACTAGTTCACTTTTAACCATATTGTAACAGAAACACACAAATTTCTTTGTGCTCTTGACAAGTAAATGAAAATTCTTTCTCCTGGGTTGGCTTTATTCTGCAGGACTTGCCGTCAACCACCCAACCAAAAGGACGACAGGTGAATAGATACCTCTATAAAAACTTCTCTACACTGAGCTAATAGTCGCTCCTTTATTAACCCTTTCCATCCCATAATGTCTGCATTTTGGACCATAACATTTGAGCATTGAAAGCTTGTACCATTTCATTTTAACACATTATACATGACTAATTCTCTATAAAGATTTTTTTACTCACACCTCTGTAGCTGTGATGGTTATTGTAATTTCAACCTGATCATTTTCACTGACAGTAAATAGTTTAGTCTTAGAGAGTCCTACCTGCCTCTGGTGCATAAAGAGTTCATAGAATTCTAAATATAACCGAAAGTCATGCCCTAGCAAACATTTCAAGGGAATTTTCTGAAATTGAAAACTAAAATAAAATTAAATTTGTATTTGCCTGTCTATGTCTAAAAGGTGCATATGATGGAAACCAGCATCAGTACCGTGGCCTTCATCTTGATATTCCTGAGCTAGTTTACAATTGCTAAGTGCTGTGTAGCATCACCGGATACCTTTCAAACAGTCAGCACTTTTAAAGTGTGGATTTTAGGTACAAATGCAGAGATTTATTCATTTTAAGAGCTAGATTACTATAATATTAATAGCACACAATGGCTCCAAAGCCTTCAGGTTGGTTTTACAGTGACTTAAATGTGAATATTCAAACTTAATATCAAGGGATGGAATCATGGGACTTTTTTTCTTTAAATGTAATGCTAAAAATAAATCTGATTTTAAGTTAATAATTTTATAAATTGCAATTGGTAGAATATGCCCACAGTTTACTCTCAGAACTACATAACTGAGGCAACATTGAATATAATACCTTATTTTAAAACTCTGGAATTCTAGTCATTCATAAAACGCTGCTGTGTTATAACTCCTGTCTGCTATTATGTCTCTTAAATTCATACACCATAAAGCTTAGAGCCTTGAATCATGCATGCTTTGATGCTATGTACTGATTTCAAGGGTTACACTGGCAAGGCAAGGGTTCAGATTCATCTTTATTTTCCCAGAATTGTAAAGCACAAATACAAAGCCAAAATTCCTCTAAAGAAATAAAGCTATATTTTTAACTTTTTAATATGTTTGAGTTACATATAGCTTTGTCTGCCACTTGTCATGAAAGTATCCAACAGCAAGATACCAGCCCAGGGTTCTTGCTACTTTAAGATAAAAACCTACTCTGGGTGTTAAAGGCTGCCTCACGGACGTAACAACTTATCCATACCATCATCATAGCCATAGCAAGCTTTAAAATTGGTGAGCATACTGCTCTATATACCTATACTATTACTAAAAGCAGAATTTATTCAACAAGTATTTTAAGTGTTCCTTCTAGATATAAACAGCAAAGTTAAAGCTGTAATCATTAGACATGGCACCCTGTTTCTGTGTCCTATCTCCATACATTGTTTCAGTTTCACTATCTGATGTCCTGTTTGTGTTGTAAATGTTGATGTGTGGTTATTAGATTAGTTGGTCACTGTTTTCCTTCACATCACTGTGGCCTCCTTTCTTACAAACTCCTGTTTTATAGATCTATGTAAGAGCACAATTTGAATATGATCCAGCCAAGGATGACCTCATCCCCTGCAAAGAAGCTGGCATCCGATTCCGAGTTGGTGACATCATTCAGATTATTAGTAAGGATGATCACAACTGGTGGCAGGGTAAACTGGAAAACTCCAAAAATGGAACTGCAGGTCTCATTCCTTCTCCTGAACTTCAGGAATGGTATGTTTTTGTTGTTTTATGATGAAACAATGTCCTCCCTGCCAGTTATCAATTTCATATTTTATATTATAAAACTTCCTTGATAAATCTTTTGCATTGATAACTATACAAAACACAATTGTCTGAGATTAGAGATCAAATCCAAAAAAAATTAGTTGTCCAAAAATTCTCAGTCTTCACCTTATAGTCAGATACTTGTTCCAGTTAGATCTGCACATGTATAAAGAAAGGAGGGTCTGGAGACAAGCTGAGTGACTAGCCTCAACTCCTACAAACTGTTCTCATCTTGTTAGAATGGCATTTTCTTCCAGATATACCTTCCTCTTGTTCCTCTGTATTCTTTCATGACCATCCTTCAATACCAAGGGGGGAAATCTTCAAATACCATGACTCAGTGTCACTCAGGGTATATAACGATGCAACCTGTTATGTTGTTGGGAGAATTGTTCTTTGCCTTACCAGTCTTTAAGAATGATTTTTCCAGGTTTCAAGAATGATTTCTTTAGCTCAGAAGTAGATGCTTGCCTGGCATGCTCTGGGTTCCATCCACAGAACAAGAGACAGGGGTAAAGATTACCTATTCTGTTAGAAGGCTTACATTGTGAAACAGGTTGAAGTCAGACAGGCATTTTAGACCCTATTGCTGAGAGGAGAGAGAATGTATATCATCTGTTAAGTATTTGGCCAATGTCCACCAGAAATCTAGTACAAAAAAAGATAATCTAATGTCTTGGTTTTGTTTTGTGTAACAAAATGTAACCTGCCAAGAACTAAAATTCTACCACCCCCTAACCTGTAACCCCCCCAAAAAATTATTTGAACTTTCTTAAAAGTCAAAAATACCAAGCCCATAAATATTTCTAATTTTTCACCAGTCCTTCTTTCAAGAGTTATTTAAGAGTTTTAAAACGTTGGGTTTTTGGTTGGTTAATCTCTTTGTCTTGATTGTCTCTTTCAACTATCTCATGTTTTCCAAAAATATTCTTAAATTTAGAAAGTTGGAGTGGATGAGGAGTTCAGGCACCATCATTTACACATGGAGAAATATGGGCCCAAACAGAGAAGCAGCAGCCTGCCATCTGGCATTGTCTTTTAAGTCTGATCTGCAGACAGTTTAGCATAAGTAGGAAGAAAGCAATTTCTAAGTCTTTTTACTGTGGCTGCTGTGAATGATACAGTTCATAAAATGTCTTCTAGAGAGCTGTCATCTATACGAGCATTTATTCAGAACAGTCATGTGTGGGCTGGGGCTATAGTAGTCAAGTGGTGAGGCCCTGGGATTGAGACCCAGCATTGAGTAAACCAGGTGTGGTGATACAGAACTTTAATCCAGCACTTGGGAGGCTTAGATGGGATCATCTTTACTTACATAGAGAGTTTGAGGCCATCCTGGGACACGGGAGACTGTATTGGAAACAAATTTTAAGGGAAGCAAAACAATAATTATGCAGATTCCAGGCTTCCTCCTACTTAGAGTAGCTATATAAATCACAAGCTGTTAGTCCTCTGCAGGCATCTGGAGAAGCCACAGTGGAAAAAGATGGTTCACTTCTTGGCTCTGCTGAGGTATAGGCTCTTCAGATCAATCTTCCTGCTGCAAAGAAAAAATGCTGCAGAAAATGGAGGAGTTTGTTTTGTTTTATTTTAATGAGCTTGAAAGCACTGAATAGCTCAAAAGTGTACTGGGGAACTCAACATCCAGTTCTATGAGACCCTTCCACCAGAGCCATAAGCAAAATCTAAGAGCACCAAGTACCCTATCTTACCAAGAAGGCATTTGCTATTATGCCAGAGAACCAAGAATAAGATATAAGCTGAACAAAGACAGAGAATCTGTCAGGAACTGTTCCTCACAGTGTAAAAAACAATTCAGTCAGTCAAGTGTTGTAGTATTCATCTGAATCCCCATATATTGTAAGCTAAAGAGAAAAATCTCCAGGAGTTCAAGGCTAACCTAGTCTACATAGTGAGGTCCAGGCTAGCCTGGACTACAGAGACCTTTTTTCAAAATGGCAAAAACAATTAGACTGTCCTGAACCTGCAGAATAAATAGCTGGTTTTAATGTATTAAACAAGGCTGAAGATGCAGCTCGGTGGTAGAATATTTGCCTACCATTATCAAGGCCTTAGGGGGAGTTATGAACCAGGAGTGGTAGCTCATGCCTGTAATCCCAGAATTTGGGAAGTGGGAGGCAAGAGGATCAATTCAAAGCCAGCCTCGTTTTCATAATGACTTTGAGGCCAGCCTGGACTACATGAAGCCTTGTTTTTAAGAATAAGAAAACGTGTCAGGCATGGTGGTGCACATTTTCAATCCCAGCACTTGGAGGTGCAGGCAAGAGCATCAAAAGTTCAAAGTTATACTTGGCTACATAAAGACTCTGAAGCCACCCTGAGATACAAGAGAACCTGTCTCAAACAAAATAAGAAATTTTACTAAGGCATTAAAGAAGACAGACAGACAGACAGACAAACATTGCAGTAATGGACTATAAGACTCAATATTGTAAAGATGTCTATTCCTCCTACATTAATTGTACCAATGCAATCTCAGTCAAAATTACAAGTTTTGAAATTGACAAACTAACTTTAAAGTTTACGTGGAGATGTTAGAGAAATGACTCCATGAGTAATTCATGCAGTCATGAATCCCAGAGTTCAGATTATTATTATTGTAATAATAATTCAGAGGTGTTCAGATAGACCAACTAAAGAGAAGAAAATCCTAAAGCACTCCTATACCAAAATAGGTACTTGCTATGTAACAAATAGCATTGCACAGCACTGAGGAATGGTCTTACTTTGTTCAGTATATCCTGCTAGGACAGTTGGGTATCCATAAAGGAGACAAAAGAGACTGGAATCCCACTTCATATGATAAGCAAAGAATATTTCTAATAAAATATGAAAGACAAAACTATAAACTTTAAGAATTTCTATGCAATGTATGATTCATTATGTCAGGAAGATTATCTGAGCTGATACCTGGAAAAGGTTTAGAAACATGCCTAACACTAAGTACTAAGCACTCAAAATAGGCTAATGAGTAACAAATTCAAGATGCAAAACAGGCCTGCCTTGACTCATAATCCCATGATAATCATTCTGAATCTTATAATCACATGTTGAAACTTCTGACCCTTATTATCAGATAAGGTGAACTCAAGGAACACAAAGCAATTTTAACATAAGCCTGTGGCTTTAAACCATTTCTAGAAAGTAGTCCTGGAAGCTAAGAACAGCCTTACGTCGGTGATGTCAAGGACTTCCAGAGGATATTCTTGCTGTTAGGTAGCTTTCAAACAACTTTTTCTCTTTTCTCGGGCATAAAACTATGTATTAACTTTGTTGGATTCTATTTTCTTTCTTTCTTCCCTTGTTTGTGTACTAGGCGAGTAGCTTGCATTGCCATGGAGAAGACCAAACAAGAGCAGCAGGCCAGCTGTACTTGGTTTGGCAAGAAAAAGAAGCAGTACAAAGATAAATATTTGGCAAAGCACAATGCAGGTAGGAAAAGCATGTCTGTTTCTGAGGCTAGGTCAAACAAATCCAAGACCTAAGCAAATACAGCATTTACATTTGGTCTTCAGAACTCTCTTTCCAGAACATTGTATTCTAGGAGACCTTGACCAACTTGCAAATGCCTTAAGAACCTCTACCTTCTACCAGTTATTTTGCAGAGCTCTACTTTCTAGGACAAAGGCACTGTTCGGAGGTAGTATCCTCTATGATGAAAGGAACAACATTGAGAAACAAGTGCTTGGGGTGTGTTGAGTCCCTGGGGTTCTCTCTTCTCTGGCTGAATTTGGCCTTGAGAGGATGACCCTCCCTCCTAGTTCCTCTTGGCCCTTGGATATGGACCCATGACAAATATTAAGGACAAAGGTGCACAAAAGGGCTGTGCTAAAGAGGATTCTGTAGCTGGTTTGAAAGTGCACGGCTGGCATGGATACTAACTTGAGATGGTCACTTTCTAGGACTATTCGTCTACCCTCATTATGCTTTGAAGTTCTTAAAAAAACAAAACCACAAAGGACATTATCTAGGCCCTCATTATATATGCATTCCCTTCCCTTTGTATGGAAGCTGGGGTTCAACTGAATCACAGGGTTTACTGTTGTGTTAAAAACCAAAATGCCTACCAAGAAAGTGTTATCTGATATTGCACTTGAATTCCCAGAAGACTCACAGGGTGTCATTTAAGCTGAAAGAAAATATGGGGAAGTATATTTAATTTAAATGGCTTTTCAATGTGACTCTTTTTATAATGGACTTTTCCTGAGAAATTAAAAGTTGGCAATAGATTAGTTCCAAAGGTTTCAGAAATAACTCAGAAATATCAAACATGTGGCCAAAAAAGTCAAATGAGTCGAGTTATTCATACACAATTCAGTGTGCTTCTGAGAAATCTGGAATGCAGGTTTCTTTGTGCGGTGTTCTAGCATGTATTAACATTCACTAGGAAAAGTTATTTATGACTTCTGAATTCTTATTTCTCCATGAGAAATTAAATGTAAGTATTTGTGAAATGCTGCATATTCAGAATGAATGTGATTGTCCCCATAGGTTAAGTTGAAATGGCTCAATTAAATGAGGGCTTGTTCCCTTCCACCAGTTGCACTGTGCACACTTATTCCCAATTAAAAGTATCATTTTTCTTATGTACTACCACAGTGCAGTAGCCTCACAATGGCTTTTGTGTTGGTTTCATAAATGGAAGAAATATTTAAAGCAGAGTTTCTCATCAGACTTTTCCTGACATCAGCATTTATTGCCTTCTCCTCTCTGCTTCCACCAGTCTAACACAATTGAGCCAGCTCACAAGGAGATTAGTTAAATCTAAATCGCATGAGTTAAATACAAAAAAAATTAATCAGCTGGGGTAGAAGCTCAGTAGTAAAGTACTTGCCTAGCATGTGAAAGGCCCTGGGTTCCATCCCCAACGCTGAAAATGAAAGAAGACATTATCTAAGCTCAACTTGCCATTTCTATAGTGTTAAATGATGTATAAATACTGACAACACTCAAATTAATTTAAACGTAGAAAAGCAAAGAAATAGCTGAGTAAATCTGCTAATATGTCATTGGTTTTATACTCTACTAATTGGAAGGCATGTAGGTTTCAGTATTCAGTTTGCCAATATTCTATAAGGATAATTAAGTGAATTGATCAGAAAACTCGACTTCTCCAAGTGTTGACAAAGACTTAGTCAAATCATCGTTGAAGAATTTTGCTAGAGAATCAGCATCAACTCTGACAGCTAGTGGTTCCCATTTTCTTTGGTTCACCTTTTCTGTTCTTGGAGCACCAGGGCATCGCTGTGCTCCTTCCATCATGGCCATTTGGATTCCCAGCAGGCAATGTCCACTCTTCCTGCAAATGTGACTATCGGCCAAATAGGCAGCCCAAAACAGAATCATTAGTCCACCCAGAGGAAGTGTATGACTTGGTCACTTAGCTTACTGATGCCCTCAAACCAGGCAATCAGGTTAGCCAATCAGGTGGTTCTTAATTCTAAACCTCAGTGGATCTAGTGTTCTTTCGTCACTCAGCCTGAAACAGGTACCTTGCAGTGTTCCATGTCTCATGCTGTAGCTCTCTGAAAACACTGCCTGTCCAGGTTGAAAGTATTTATCCTTGATTTAGACAACGGGGTACTGTTGTTTTTTTCTGCATCCTTTGGCGTGACATCCCCTATCCCAAATCATGTGCCAAAGTTCTCATAAATTCAAACTGTAGAAAAATAATCTTAGCTGCACAGGGGACAGAGGACCACCACTCTTTTTGCTGCCCTTAGTATTTTCTTAACCACTGACCTCTGCTAGGCATCTGAGCAGTTCTTGTCACTCTTGAGGGGTTATCCTTCCAGTCCATGTATATCTGCCTGACTCGGAAGGAAGGCCCTTGTATAGCCACTGAAGTTTCTTTCTAAACCTTTGGGTTTCTGCTTCTCTGTGAGTCTCTAGTCAGAATACTGCTATCAGGGTCCTGCCCCTGCAGAGTCATGAGTTCTCCTTAATTTCTCTTTTAGGAGAAGGTGACCACCACTTTTACCCTGGCCTAACTAAACCTAGCATTCCTTTGTGTCGCCATCTCTTCAGGATCCCTCAACTTTATCAATGAACGTTTCCATCTTGTTTAGTCTAACGTCCAGAAGCCTTTGCTTATCACTACAGGAGCTGAAGCTGTCAGACAACTGTCTGCTTTGGCTAGGATGAGGTTGCCTCATAGACTATTATATTGCCCATGCAAAGAATTGCTGTAAAATACCATTGGCCTCCATCTAGGTAAGGCAGATACTGTGAAAACGAGAAAATAGTGTATTCTTTCATACCAACAACTAGCCAGATGCTCACAAATCAAACTACTTTTCTCAACGTCTTTCAGAAACCAACCATAAATACAGCACACTCTTTTCTTTCTATGTTGTGCAGTAATTCAAAATAAGGTGCTGGGTTTTGTTACCTGTTCAAAGACTTTGAAAATTCATCATACATTGACGGCAAGCTCTAAATTTTATCATCAAAGTTGGAAATTACTTGTATCTTCAAGTAGAATAAAGGATAAAGACTGTCCACAGCACCAAGAATGGCAATAATAGCATCAAAATCTATTATTTCTGTCACCAGGAAAACCCACACATCTAGTTAAAGCAGAATTATGCTTAAACTGTGCGGTCTACATAATACAGTGGTATAAATTTCATTCGTGCACAATATTTAAATAATATTATGATACCACATTTGAAAATCGGGTTATATAATATAAAACTTTGTATTTTAGACATCCCTTGTCAAAATAGTGACTGCAGCACCACTAAGTCACTTCCTTTTTTAGGGTCTGTGGGTTACTAATATCCCTCTTGGATGAGCATTTTATTCCCTAGTATCCCCCTCAATAACCAAATACCCCTGTTCCTTTTTGCCTGGCTTGCTTCATTCAACCACATTATCTATCTGGCCACTACAAACATACAATATCTTCTCTGGACCAGTGGTACTAGTTGGAATTCATTCTTAACTAGAGTTGGGTTTGGTGGGGTTGTTTGTTGTTTTAGTTTGTTTGTTTTTCAGTATTTGAAGCTACTTGTAGCCTTTCAGAGACAATGTTAACAGCTTGCTTTTTTTTTTCAAATAGTTGCTTAAATACTTAAGTGCCTGAAATGTTAAGTAGTTTAGCAGGAAATCAAAGAAATATAAACAAAGTGTGCCAGGAAATATTTCTAAATTCTTCAGAATGAATTGGATTATGGTATGTGTAGTATTTACATCAAATATGTTTCTGCAAACTCATGAGACCTTTTAGGCACATGCATCTGATGTGAACAGTATTATCATCTTGCTAGAACTGTACTCTAGATGCACTGAGCTTCCTAAGCCCAAGACTTCAAGAAGGCACTTTTAGGGTGTTAGAGAGATGTCTCAGTGGTTAAGAGCACTGACTGCTCTTCCAGAGGACTCTGGTTCAATTTCTGGCACCTACATGGCACACCTGTCTGTAACTCCAAGATCTGGCACTCACGCAGACATACTTGTAGGCAGAACACCAATGTACATTAAAAATAAAGTTACTCTTAGTTCAAGTTAATGATTTAAGCTTTTTTACAAATGAAAGTCTGTATTTTTTTTATTGTAAGACATCAAAACAGTGGTATTTAATGTCCTGAAAGTACTGTTTATGTGGATACATATGAACTTAGAGGATTTCTGGAATAGCATTCATTCATAGTTGTGTTTAAATTATGCTTAATACTATAAACAAGTAATTAGCCTTTTAAAACTATCCTGAAGAAAAGTGGCCTATAACCTCATTGATACTTGTATTTTTTTTTCATAATAAAACTAGGACTGAAGATGTAGCTTAGTGATAGGGCACTTTATTAGCATGTGCAAGGCAAGGCTCTGAGTTTGATCCCCAGAATCATAAAGTACAATAATAAGCTAATAAGCACACATAGCTAGAAATTGCCGATGGTACAGAAATGCACAAAGTGAAAAGTGAAAGGCCCCTACATTTATTCTCTCTGAAAGGGGTTTCTTATCATTTCCACATAAAATTTCTGTATACATGCTAGCATATAAAAATCCACTGGCTTTTATATAAGGGTATGATTGAATTTGTATTAAAATGAGTTTGTTTCTTAATGTGGTTTATTTACCTTGTGTTTAAAATATTGCATGATGAAGTTTATTTTGTGCCTATTATACTTTTATTTTACTAATATATGAAAAGTCATATTTCAATGACCCCTGTACATTTTTCATGCTGTCTCACTCCCAATGGCCTCTGTGCATGTAAGTAACCTGTTGAATGAATATGCCTCTGTGTTCTTGATGCTTTCATTTTATTAAGTCCTTTTTCTTTAATCAGCAAGCAATTTAAACCCTTTCAAAGTTCAGTCTTTAAGTGTTCTTCTAATATTCCTTGTATATCTTGTTTTCAAATATCCTGTTTTACTTTGTTTTGCAACCCTATGACTATGTGGCAATTTTATTTAGACCAGAGTAACCTCTTCATACTACCATTCATGGCTAAGATTCTAATGTTTAACCTATCTGTTCGTTTGTTTGTGGTATGTTGATTGTTAATCCCTAACTTGTGTGCTTTTAGAAAATGACAAAGGCATAAATAAAACCAAGACTCAACTTAGGTCTCTATAGAGGGAGAGGGATGTGTCTACCTTTCAGAAAACTTTGTGTCTTCATCACCTTGTTCTTTAATGAAATACTTGATGATTTGTATAGCTTAAAACACATCAATTTGCCGATGCACTTCTTCCTATGAGCACACTTTTCCTTGATGGAAATCTTCAAGGCAGTGGACACAGAAAGCAGTGCCATAAGCACTCCTGCTTTTCTTTCTGCAATTCTCTTCATTCCATTACCACTGTAGCACAGCAAACTAGCTCTACCACAGGGAGTCTCATCTCATTTTAATTTTGTAGCCATGCCATTCTGCAAACATTTCTCCAATATAAGCTATTGCTAGAGAATATGGTCTAAAGATTTTTTATTCAACTTTTATAGAATCAAGTTATCAAAAGAAAACCAATGCACAAAGACCCATTAATATACACTAGCTTTTATTTTAATATATTGTATTCCTTTCTCTATATATTTTGAGAATTATGTTTTTCACTCATTTATTTGCTTGTGGTCTATTGAGCTCTGTGGTATCTTATTTTGCATCATAAGGTTCTTTGCTACTGTGCAGATCACAAATGTTAAGGGCTGAGCTGATTCTCAAAATCATTTGGCCATATTGTTTCAGGGAGCAGACGCTCTCTGCATGATTCAGCCATGGGATCCAATTCACTGAATAATTCACCTCTCTGGAATTCTGGGAGAACTCAATCTTTTAAGAGGAAACTTCACTGTGTACTTGATAACAGTTGGGTATGACCATGGGTGGGCAGTTTACAGGAAACACAGATGTCTGATTTTAGCCTTCTCTGAGAACTTTCAAATGTGTCTGAGAATCAGATCCTTTCGATAGCCATGGCCATTCACTATGATAACTTCCCCGTATTGCTTGACATTGGTCTTGTCATAGTGTTGTTGAGAAACACGTTTCTGAAACATTTTTAAAGTATTTCTCAGTCTATAATAATTCAAGAACTGCCCTTTCTCAAAGGTTTCTAAGCTCAGCCTCGCCATGATTATTTCCATCCTGCGCACCCTGATTTCTTACAGAGCTTCCCATATAATTAATGGCTGACATAGTTTCCGGGCCAGGAATGCATGTTTCCCTGCTTAAAACCCATACCTTCCCAAGACCTGAGTTACAGCAAATTTGTGAAATGTTCAACTAAAAGCTTATTAAAATTCTTTCATACCAGGTGGTGCTGGCACACGCTTTTAATCCCAGCACTTAGGACGCAGAGGCAGGCAGATCTCTGTGAGTTCAAGGCCAGAACCTGGCTTTGACAGATTCTAACATGCCACCTTCATCAATTCTTAAGAAGTAATAAAGGCAATAGCATTAAATAAAAACTGGGTGACCATGCATTTCTCACCCATCTCTGGATGTGCTACAGCTGGCCCTCACTCGCTGATTTCACTTGCACCCATGCTCTCTACTTGTGGTGGTTGCTACCCAAAGACTTTTTCTTTTGAATATTGCTACTTGCTTAGAATTGTGAAAATATGAACAGCATGTGGTTCTGAGTGAATTCAAATGATTTGTTGGAATACTGCATGAAAAAATATGATGTATCCTTTAGAATCGGACTTTCATGCATGTACGCATCATTTCTTTGGTTGTTCCTGGTTCTCAAGTACATTTTCATGGGCTTAAAAATGAAACTTTCTCCCATAATGGCATTATGGATTAAATCAATGTAAGCTACATATCATAAGCAGAATTCATGCTGTTACTATAACTTAGTTTTTCCAATAAAATTATAAATTACCTGCATGCGATATCCATCCTATAAACTTACCTTTCTTCTAAATCTTTGCATTTTAGTGTTTGATCAATTAGATCTTGTCACATATGAAGAAGTAGTCAAACTGCCTGCATTCAAAAGGAAAACACTAGTCTTATTAGGTAAGTTTAGCTGTATCAGTGGCTTGCTTATTCTCACCTCCAAATAATTCTACAAACGTTTACTAGTTGTTAATTTTACCATTCTTTTCAAAAATTACCTAGGTGCACATGGTGTTGGGAGAAGACACATAAAAAACACCCTCATCACAAAGCACCCGGACCGGTTTGCTTACCCTATTCCACGTAAGCAATGCATCAGCCAGAATTCTTTTTATCCTATCATCTTCTTGTCATTGTAATATGCATATTTTTCTAATTATGTAAATAATAATTGTGTACTATAGGAAAATTGTTAAATCCAAAACAAGAGCAATGAAGAATATATGATAATTTCAAAATCATTTTCCAAATAAGAAGTACCACAAATATTTGTTGTAAACTCCTTCTAGACTTCTCTTAATGTAAACATATGCACAGTGGCGAGTTACAGCATTAGTCTTATCCATGTTGTTTATAACCTAACTTTTCCAACAGTTTGTCATAAATATTATCTAGATGAATGATTCTTTTAAAAAATAAGCTTTAATTGTTTTATAATTTTCTCTGATACAACCATGTTTCCACCAATCATTACCTACATTATTGACTTTATCACTTTAAAACCCAGGCAATGAACTCTCTTTTGTTTAGTATAAGGAATTCAAATTTGTGATATTTCTCCATCACCCTTACTTGTCTGTTTCATATTGTCAGCCTCTTGCCCTCTTTCATTCCCTCAACTGTGAAATGAAGCAATCTTGACGGTTGTACAAAAAGTTCAAGAGTAGGTATAGGAAACAGATGGGGCTAAGTCCTAGCTCTTAACCTCAAGGCAGTCAGGAAACAAGCCAGCATTGGCTACAGATTTGAGTTCAGCCACAGTGACATACAAAGAACCAAGCTAGCCAGGGCTACAAAGTAAAACCTTGTCTCAAAACATTAAAAACAAGAAACATCTCTGAAGCACTATTTGGTCTGTAAACCAGTTCACCACTTCCTTGCCTCACCTTTTGGTTTAGTCCTTCTATGATAATCCTAGCCACACCTCTTTCAGCCCGTTGTGTTTTCAGTATGGTGTGCCTTTTGCTGTCCTCCAACAAACATCCTCATTTGGGAAGTGGTATAGGAGACGTTTCCGTGTGGGAACTGTCCAGGAGGGTAGTCCCTTGTGGCTCCCCAGCCATTGAAATGTGAAATAAGAAACTGAACTGTTTCATTCGTTTAAATGGAAATAGCCACACGTAGTTATTCATCCTCTCCTTCTTTCTTCCTTCTGCACGGGACCCAAGTAAGCTAAGGGATAGTGAGTTATGTTAATCTTGGGTCAGTTTGTTATTTTTCTGTCATTGTGATAAAATACTATTACCAGAGTAACTTAAAGAAAAAAAAAAGTTGGTTGACTTACAGTTCCAGGGGGTAAGAATTAATCATAGCAAGGTAGACATAGCAGCAGGAGCAAGAAGCTGAGAGATCACATTTTTAGCCTCAGACACAAACCAGAGAGAGCAAACTGGAAATGGGGAAAGGCTATGAGTCTCAAATTCTGTTCCAAGTGACCTTTCCTCTAGAAAGACTCAAACTCCCGAAACAGTGCCACCAACAGGGGACAAGTATTCAAATACCTGACTCTATTTGGGCCGTTTTTCATTCAAAAAACATCTTAGTCACATTATGTCTTTCCTCCCAGGACAGTATGAAATAGCTCTCACAACACTGAAATATTCACCAAACAACAAACAATCCAAAAAAAATCTGCTATGCTGCTGCACACAGATAAATATGGTTTTTAGCTTGCTTCTGCAATGTTACTGGAGATGGAAACAGAGGATATGAGACACTCTAAAGAATCAACAGTTTTTTTTTTTTTTCGTTTTGAGACAAGGTGTCTTGTATCCCAGGCTGGCCTTGGGCTTGTAATCCTCCCCTTGCCACCTCCCAAGTGATGGGGTTGCAGCTGTGTGCTATCATACCTGGTTTCAAGAAACAACTGAGGAGCTAAGTTTACAGCTCAGTGGTAGAGTGCCTATCTAATATGCACAGAGGCCTGTATCTCAACATGGAGTATGCACATGCGTACACACACACACAGTGATTGAGTTGAGTAAGTTCATTGGGAGTGTGACTCATCAATCCAGCCATTTAAACCTCTCATGAATGGAACTTTGCAGATACAACCAGACCTCCAAAGAAAGATGAAGAAAATGGCAAGAATTATTACTTTGTATCTCATGACCAAATGATGCAAGACATCTCAAATAATGAGTACTTGGAGTATGGCAGCCACGAGGATGCAATGTACGGGACAAAACTGGAGACCATTCGGAAAATCCACGAGCAGGGGCTGATCGCAATACTGGACGTGGAACCTCAGGTAATGTCCAAGCCACCCTGAACCCACTCTGTCTTGCCTGCATGCTGATAAGCTCAGATTCTGAAATCCAAAATGCCATCAGAAAGTTTGGGGTCATGGAAATAATTTTCTAAGCCACAGGAAAATTTCAGTTCTCAAGACTGCCTGGGTCAACAGTCTAGGATGTAAACCAGTCACTGAACTCAGCGCAAACAACATGCATTTAATAAGCACATTGTTCTCTTCTGCGGCTTATACTCAGAAGCTCGGTGAAGTGCCCATTTGGGTCTGTGCCTGCCAGAAATCCTCCACTTACCCACCCTCAGGATGAGGCTCTGACATTTTTTATCCCAGCAGCCCTCCTCTGATCTCCTGGTACAGCCCATGCTGGCCCAGTAGAGCATCTGCCAATATCTTAGGTTGATCATGTGTGAGAAACTGATCCTGGGGTCTGGATGTGAAACAGCTGTAGCTTCATGACAGTGATTGTGAGTGCTTTTACCCAGGGTTAGGTGAAGCAGGGATTAAGAGCCTAGGTGGCTCTCAGCCTCTGCGATTTCCTTTCCTGAGGAGAGAAGTGGAAAACTCGGGGAGGACTCAAAAAGGAGATAGGTACAAAGATGATTGCTTTAATAATTTGTAAACAAGTCTTATGTAGGAAACAATAGCAATGATGGAACTTGAGAAAGCTGAAGACTTCATATAGGGATTGACATCATTGCCTCTCAGCAGTAAGGTGGGCACATGCTTAGCATATACAAACAAAACAGAAATGCTGAAAAGCTAATTTTTCAAGTCTGAGCATAAGCCAGGTAGAAGTGGGGCACAATGAAAAGGACTTGGGAGTGATAGACATCAGAGGAAGTTCCAAGACAGGCTGCTGGGGACTCTCAAGACTCAGATGTGCCATTTCTGTGATGGCTCTATACCCCCACGCCTTTCATCACTTAGACTAGAATGGGTAGACCACCTGCTGAGTTATGGAGATACCCCTAGTTGAGCAGTTTCTGCTTAAGCAGGAGGAGGCGTAGGTACATATCCCAGGCAGGGAAAACCCCCATTGAGGGGTCACTGCATGAGACTTGGTCTCATAGCCATTCCTAAATCGTTAGATTTACAGTCTGTGTGACCTGGGCCCTGATGGCTCAGTTTCTGGGCTCCAGGAGTCTAACAGACTGTGGCCAATAGTTTCATTCATTTCCATTATAGACCAAGTGGGGTTCTTGAACTCAGAACTTTGGAAACTACAATAGGATCTGGTTAGGGGCTAGGGAAGAGTACAATAAACACTGTAGTTTACTTAATGGTTAACTTGGACCTATATAGAACTAAATATGATGATGTGTAACACAGATTGATCTTTGTTTAACTACTAATCCCTCCTTACTAGGGATTGGAAAAATCTTCTGGCCAGGGGTGGCTAGAGGCAAAGTCTCAATCCTGGTCCTGGTCTTCGACATCCTCTCCTTGGGTTCCACACTGGTCTTCACCTGAACGTCGTTTTCTGCTGGTAGTAATGTCTCTAGCAGTATGCTGGCTGCAGGGCTCCTCAGATCCCTCTGCATTACCTCAGGCCACTTCCAAGGGCTTTCTGCCTTCCCTGCTGCTGCTGCTGCTGCCACCCGCCGCCACCGCCACCACCACCACCACCGCTGCTGCCGCTGCTGCTCCACTCATAGCACCCAGCTCTCCCTGTCCCTTGCCCTTGCACAGCCATGCACTGCTCTGCACTGCTGAGCGGGAGACCCATCTCTCAGACTCATCAGGACGTCCACAGCAGATCCTTTCTCCATTGCACTTGGCCCGGCACCTCCTCCTGCCAGGCACACTGGCCCCTGCTGCCCTGCCTGACTGCTGGATGAGCTCACCTGCACTCCTCTCCTGCTTCCTGTTTCCCCTCCTCTCACAACTGTGATCTCTCAGTTCCACTGGCCCCTGAGGGCAGGCCCTAAGCATTCTGGCCTCTGCCCTAGGATGGGCCAGGGCCATCTGGCCCCTGTATGAACTGGTTGACCACTCTGGTCCCAGACTCTCCTGCCCGGTCTAGACTCCTAGCTGGATGCTATATATGGCAGTATAATCTAGGTTATCTATGGAGTCTGTACTAGGAGGGTTCCCTGGGCCTCCCTGCACTCGGCCCACTCTCTTCAGGGCTGGGGAGCACCCTCACCCTACTTTCAGGATGCTTGTGGCTATGAATGAATTACTTTAAAACATTTTCCTCAGTGCCCCTTTCCTATCTCAGCCATTTAGATTAAGGCTTCCACTGTATCTAAGAAACTCTGATTCAACAAAGCACTAATATGTCATGCTATGTACATGCATAAGCTAAGAACGCAGTTAAGGAGATAAGCTGGTGAGGATGAAATTCCTCTCTGCATATACCTCAGAAACTCCCCAAAAGAGGGAAAGTGCTGTGTGGCTTTTCTTGTTTTAATCTGCTCAACATCTATGACAGCTGAAGCCACTTGTCCTATAGGTGGCCCATTGTATGACACCTAGCACTGGTGCTCAGCTCGTTTAGGACATGCCTAATGCTTTGTGCCATCTTAATTTATTTCAAACAATTGAGGCTAAACTTAAGATAAGTTGTGGTGGTCCAATTTCAATCTAGAGGGCCATGGCAGTGATAACAAATTAGAAAAAAAAAAACAGTATCCTGGCTGCTTTCAAAATAACAAGAGATTATAGTCCTATATTGCCAGTCCTGGTAAGCTCAATGAATTCTGTCAGTATGTACTGCCATAGGTGAAGAAAACAGATTTAATGTAATTGTGATCAAACAAGCTTTTCCAGCCAGGAGAAAATGAGCTTTGAACTGGGTTGGGTGTTTTTTGTTTATTTTTTTACTTTTTTATGATAAATCCCAACCTTTTGTGCCATTATAGGCAAGGAAACCTTGAACACCCTCTAGGTCTCCCACCTTATGCATAACACTACAGTTTAAACATTCATTTATTTTCTTTTAACATCTAGAAAAGTACATAGGGTGATTAAACCTGAAAAAATACAATAAAGCTCATTTCTCCTACAAATAAAACCTGAGGAACTAATCTACACCAATAAAGCAGAACTGTAGAATAATAACTAGTAGGTAATTGGAACTTATAATAGTTTTCAATTTGAACTCTCTACCAATCAGAAGCATTACAAAGTTAATATTAGTTGCTGGGAATAGCTGTACATGCCTGTGATGCCAGCACTCAGGAGGCTAAAGCAGGAGGATCATAAATTCAAGGGCAACCTGGACTATATAGCCAGATTTTATGTCCAAAACAGTTAGTAGCAGATTATCTGTAGCTTTGCCTTTGCCCAAAGAGAGAAAAGTTGCCATCCAGAAAAATTTCAAACTTAGTACCTAAACTTTAAAGAGTCAGGGCCAAGGGCCTAGCTCATTGGCAGGGGCACTGCTTAGCATGCAGGAGATCCTAGGTTCCATCCTCAGTACCAAAATGTAAACAGAACCAGAGGCCATTCCATTCTCTGGTTAGCACTGTGCAATCCCGAAACCCCTGTGTTTGTGTCCCAGAATAAGTGAGCTGCTTGCCCTGTATACTTTGTAACTTTGCAAACTACATTAGTCTGATGAGACCTGCATCTTAGATCTTTGGGTCGAATGAGTTCTTTTTCCTTGGCAAGATAACCTGAGATTAATTCTTGGCCATACATAGATGAGCTATAAAAATGAATTTATCTCCATAAATTACCTCTCATAAATGAATGACACTTTTTTAATCTAGTACGAATTGAATGATTATTTAAATCCAGTATGTTTTCAGTGGTTTTTCTAGAGTGTGTGTTTTCTCTGTCTGTCTTTGTGTGTGTCTCCTCTCCTTTCCTTTCTTCTCTCCCTCCATGCCCTCCTCCTCTTTCTTCTCTCCCTCCCGCTCTTTCTTCCCCTCCTCCCTTCCAGAAAGAGAGATTTGCTTGTGACTATTAACAAATTTGTAGCTCCCCTTAAATCAGAGGTTTAGAGTTCATCTTTAACTCCTATGTTAACCACCTGAGGGAAGGGATTCCTTATGAGTAGTTCCGTTTCCTGTCCCTGAAGTGACTCTGAACTTCAGCCAAGAGCCTGAACCTAAAATGGCTCCTGCTTGAAAACCGTACCTAGAGCAGGGTGTGAGGATAGAGCTTGGTATTTTGGAAAATGCAATAATATGGGATAGAAATAGAAAACCATGAAAAAGACGCAGCAACAAGTATGCTAACCACAGAAACTGCTGGAGTTCTTATGCTAAGCATTAAATTTGGTTCTAAACTTTCTGTCAGCTGCAGGGGCAGGAACCTAGAGCTGATTTTTAGGCACAAGAAACCTCTGGAAATGTGATAAACATGGCCTTCCTTGGGGCTTTCATGCAGTTAACAGTTGGGTGGCCCTCCTTATTTACAGCTGTAGACTTGAAGCAGCACACAGTACATGTTTGGCTAGTTCACTGGGAGCTCAACTGCTGCTTTTCAAGGAACGAGTTTGTGCAGTAGCATGATGGCAGGCTAGAATCGAAAGCACTCACAGGATTGGGCGGTGAGCAGGGTGGGCAACTAAGAAGAAGAAAGCTATCTCCAACCTGGGGTATTGTTGTCTTCTGTGAGTGCCATTCAGCATACAAGCTGTGTGCACTTCTATCTGGTACTCAGAGGTACCTCCGGGAGAAAAGCAAGGAGAATGTTTCCACGGCTTAGTTGACAGAGAGAGAGAGAGAGAGAGAGAGAGAGAGAGAGAGAGAGAGAGAGAGAGAGAGAGAGAGAGAGAGAGAGTTTATCCAGTGGAAATGATGAGAAAAACTTATATCCTGCCTGATGTTGTATTCCCTTGCTGCCAGAGCATAGGAAGGAAGAAACAAAGAGCCAAGATAATAGTGACAAAGTGACCATTTCTAAATAAGGACCCTGGTTAGGCTTACTTAAATCATGTGCTCAGTCACAGCAGGCGAACAAAGAAATGGGCAGCTGCCTCTATCAGGAATGAACATGGGCAGACTTGGAAAGCATTCTTAGTAGAATGAAGAGATTTGGGCAGATAAGACAGTGAGTCAGGTTCCCTCACCAAAGACGGTATGTGACTAGAGCTAGAACCCTAGTGCACACCAGCCTTAGACTCAATATCAGATTGCATCTTAGAATCCCATGTGCTCAGAGATGCCAGGAGAGCAGAGGCTCTCCAGTTAGACCTGCTGCAAAGGCCAGGATCAGTAGTGTACATACTAGATTGACTGTTTCTGCATTTTTACTGAATCATAAAGGCAATTTATGGTGTACCATATTGAGTATAAGAGAAACAACTAAACAAGACCGAGCCTTTGCCTTCAAGCCACTACCAGGGACTGTATTTCGAGTGTGATTGATGGCTACTTCAGGAACACACAGCAGGGCCTCCAAGCCCAATGGCAAAGTTTCCAAAGAAACTGCCAGGTGTGCTATCAGCAGCACAAGAGGATCCAGAGCTCAAGCTCCAGCTCAGGTGCTAGAATGCATGTCTAGCATGCACGAAGCTCTAGCTTCAACCCCCACCACCGCATAAAACTGGGCATATCTATAATCCCAGCACTCAAGAGATGAAGGCAGGAGAACTAGAAGTTTGAAGTCATTCTTGTCTGTATAAGATCATGTTCAAAAAAAAAAATCTTTCCTGAAACTAGGTTCTGAAGGATTATTCAGGCAAACAGAAAGAACATCGAGAAAGGGTGGGAAGGGAGGGTAGGGTGTCCAAATAAAGGAAGCACCAAGCAAAAAGGCCAAGAAGCCAGAAAGAGTTGTGCCTTTTCAAGACTGAAAGTTGTTCAGTAAGGCCAGTGCACCCCGCGGATGGAGCAGTGCTAGGCAGAACAAGTTAAACATGGGACTCAGCCTTTATGCTAAAGGAGCATGTGTTTTCCCTGCACTACAGAGGGGGCTGTTGAAAGGTTAGGAGCAGAAGATGGAGTTTGTGTTCCAGAAAGACCATCTAGCAGTGGGCTGTAATGGATTTAATAGCCCCAAAACTAAAAGCAGGAAATCAGTCTCAGGGCTAGCACTATAAACCAGGCTAAGGATGGAGCATAAGAAACAGGGGAAAGGGGGGCTGGAGAGATGGCTCAGAGGTTAAGAGCATTGCCTGCTCTTCCAAAGGTCCTGAGTTCAATTCCCAGCAACCACATGGTGGCTCACAACCATCTATAATGAGATCTGGTGCCCTCTTCTGGCATGCAGGCAGGCATGGAAGGAATGTTGTATACATAATAAATAAACAAATATTTAAAAAAAAAAAAAGAAACAGGGGAAAGAAAACAAAAAGTAAAGATCACTTAGAAAGCAAAATAGGTAACAAAATAGGCATGTTTGATTCTTGCGTAAAGAGCAACGGTGGTGCACACATGAAGCCCCAGGCCAGTAGCAAGCCAATTGCCAGTTTGAGGCCAGCCTGTGTATACTAAGACCCTATCTCCGGGGAAAGAGAACTAAAATTAAATAGAGAACAGAAAGGCATTTACTCCTTATGTCTATGGGTCACTTCCATGTCGGTCCTGTGTGGATTAGGTACCTGGGTGTGGTCAACTTTGGACTGGGATGGTATTTATTATTTCTGAGAGTACCCTGGCTTCCCAAGGGAGGAACAGAAACAGATTTGCCACAATTTGGAAAAGTACTAGTAGTAACCTCAAAGGGCCTTCCACTTGAATGCCATGTCCTCAAATGGGTCAGGTTATTGACCACAACCACATAGTGTCTGTAGTGGAAGGACTTCGTGATTGCAGCCCTGGGCAAGGGTCTCCCCTTCTCCCATGAGTCCCATGGAGGGCCTCTCAACAGAAGACCCATGTGAATGTGATTATAGCACACTTTGACGGCCGCCAGGCTTTGCTCTCTTTGCTTAGCAGTTTGCAGTTTGGTATGTGACAAAGTGGATTTGCAATCTCTGAAAGCCAGCCTGCAGAGCTAAGTCACCTAGAATGCATTTGCCATCAACTAAAATCACCAGGTTTAAATGAACATTAACCGACATAGTCAGTGCTAACTATTACAAAGGAAAATAAATTCAGCAAAGTCAGGAGATTCCTAAGAAACATGTCCTACTTGTCAGCTCTTATCTGGGCTGTTAGCTACCCTTTACAAGAAAAGCAATGGACACTACTTATAAAGTTGGTACATTTAATTATAACTTGCCAAAATCTTGAGCCAAGGCCTTGACTTTTTCACTTGTATCACATTTTGTAGACTCCTTTGCATGTTGTCTCTGTTATTTCTTCTTCTAAGAGTCTTCCTTTTCCACACAGGCACTGAAGGTCCTGAGAACTGCTGAGTTTGCTCCTTTTGTTGTCTTCATTGCGGCGCCAACTATCACTCCAGGTTTAAATGAGGTAAGAGTGAACTCCCCCTTCTCTGGACAAGCACACTCTATGGTAAGGAATGTGTAGTATGTCTTGTACTGAAGACACCTGAGCAAAGATCTGCTTTGTCCTTTTGCAGGGCACTCTGATTTCCAGAGTACAAGGGCCTTGTTCGATATGTGGAGTTAGACTGCCTAAGCAGGGTGTTTCTTCTGGGATCAGAATATTAGACAAATTCCAGCCTCCTCCCTAACACAGTCTGAAGTGTAGCCGTTTCCATTTATAGCAGGAGGTCTGTTCCAGGAGATATGATGTGGACTAGACCAGTCAGTAGGACAGTCTGCAGCCTTAATTAGTACATCTGCTTCTGAAGTACAAGCATAAACCCCCTCAATTCCCAAGGCTTAAGGTGTCCAAGCAGACCCTGCCCTCTGGAGCAGCTAGTCTTCTGCCTCCTTGGCAGGGAGCCAAGAGGGGCTATAAGGAATCTGTGACCTCAGTGGGGCTGCCCAAGATGCCCTGCCTATGAAGACCCCTGGAGACTACCCAACCTAGAAATGAGCTGCCCTGAGCAGGGAGCCTTCTTGCCTAGCATGAACATTGTCCTGGGTTCTATCCCCAGCACTACAAAAGGAATACATTTTGGGTGCTTTCAAGCCAGTTCAAGTCAGCAGTTGCCAGGCTGGCCCAGGTCATACTGAGCCCTCGCAAAGGCTCTCCCTTCCTGGAAGGTAAGGGCAGCAGCACATGCTGACAGTTTAACCACTTCTGCTTCCTGTGGTCCTGAGCTGGGAAGACGCTCCTGTACAGTTATCCTGAAGAACATGATTTTTCAGGTTCTAGAACCATCAGCAGACTTTTGAGTATGTACAGTGAATGCTGACCCATCTTGCAGTACAGTTAGATCAAGGCTTGGAAGTCATGTGTGTCTTTAGTATTTAGAGTGACCTTTATTGCTCCTGTTTTCCTTCTTCTTTGCCATCTCATTGACAAAAGGCATATTCCTTCAGAAAGTTCTTTCCCATGTGTGCTTCAGACTCCTCATTGTGATTAACGTTTGTCCTTGGTTACTATGTATTTTTCTTGAATTATCATTCTTGTTTTGTTTTTGTTTTGTTTTTATTTTTTGCCTGTTCTGCCC